GAGTATGTCAATATGTAAATCAATGGAAGTGTAACTGATGTGATTCTGCAAGATGTATACGGGGTAAAAATGGGAGTTCATAACCCACTTGAATCAAAATGTGAAATATGATATATCAAGAACTATGTAATGTTTTGAACAACCAACAAGAAAAAGAAAATGGGTAGGTAACTGTGGTAACTACTGAAATTCAACACTGGACAGCAAAAGAAAACATAGGCACAGAAAATCATAAGCACTGAATATAATATAAAAAAATAATAGAGATAAAGTAGCTATGGCCTGCTGAGAGAAGAGAATAGTAAAAGGGAAAAAAAAATTGGCTTGGGGATACTTGTGGAGTAGAGATGGAGGCTAATCTTAATGGACCCAGAGTCAATGGGAAAAGCTGTTGAGCAAAAAGCAACCAAAATCACTCAGTCCATGGGCCAGACAGTTTGAAGGGAAATGGGATCACTGGTGCAGGAATGATTTTTAAGCACTGCACAGCCACAAGCAGAGGCAGGGGATAGGGAACTTATAAAGGAAGTTGCCATCTGACCCAGCAGTCACCTATTGTGGGCCCCAGAGTACAATTGAAATAAGTGTAAAGAAAATTGTGCCCAGGGTATCTAGGCTCCAGATAGCAAGAAGGGAAAGCTCCCTTTATTGCTGGCACCCCATAAGAGCTATTGAGGAGATAACCTATAGCAGCCATACAGGAGCAACTTCACTCCAGGGCGCTACTGGGTAATTCACATCCATAGCAGTGAATGTGGAACCTGTGGAGGTTTAGATTTCACACCCAAAAGGTGGAATTTACAGGAGGCAAGAGAGACCCAAACATCCAACAGAAATGGGCATCTCCTAAGCAACAGGGAGTGTAGATCAAATCTCAAATCCACTGACAGAGTTCCAAGGGTCAACCAAGACCAAAACCTAGTAACTGGAACTTCCAATTTAGAACTCTGCACCACCTCTACTACAAGAATGCACAATTTGTCTGCATTCAACAATCTATCCCACCACATTCTGGGAGACAGGAAGCTGAAAGCTACTACAAGCAGCGCTGGCCCCTAGCCACAATGGCAGACAACTAAGTGAGGACCACAAAGACATTGGACTGAACAAACCCCAGCTCTTTACTCAAGGGTTACAGAGCCCAAAAGTAAAAATTAAAAAAATGAAAATCCCTCCTTGCCAATAATTTTGACCTCCTATGTGAAAAAAAGCCCTTTATCTCTCATTAAGAATTTTTTCTCCTTTTTTCCATATTTCCCCTCCCTAATATTTTACATCTAATTTTTTAAATTTTTTCAAATGTTTCATTATCATTTTTTCACTTTTTTCTATACTGTAAGAGGGTGTGTATATGGGTTTATGAATGTGGGTGTTCTCACTGTGCAGATAGGTTTAAAATATATATATATATGTGTGTGTGTTTGTGCATATATATTTATATAAACATACATATAATCTTACTTTCATTTCATTGATTTCTTCTTCATTTATTATTTAGCTTTGGTTTGACTTAGCTGAGGTATAATTATACATAGGTTTGAATTGTTTTTTGATCCTATATTTGTTTGTCCTTTGGTTTTTGTCCCTCTTATTGCTCCTTCACTCTCTTCCCCAATTAATAGCCAATTTTTCCTGTTCCCTCTTCCTCTCATTCATTTTTTATTACTTTTATTCTCCTCCTTTACAGCTGTCATCTGCTACCTATCTTCTGCCTTGTTATTTAAATATTTAAATATCCTCTTGCCTTGTTACCCTATTTTTTTAAGAAACTGAACTCCCACTGAGAATTATATAGTATATCTAATTCCTACACTACTCTTGTTGCTCTGATTATTAATACAGTAGATGATGCAATAGATACCTGCTGTTTAATGCCTGATCTAGTTTACATTTTTTTATTGTTGGTGCTGATGTTAAATGCTGACCCTACCATTCCTTTACAGGTGGCAATTAGTGTTACAGATATCAAAGTAGACTGGCCATTTATCTTAAGTCTGTACATATGTTGCTAACATTGGTACTATTCTTGGCTCCCCCATTCCTCTAAAGGAGTTTGGAAAGTGATAAGGGCACTTCAAGTTTACAGAGTAAAAATCAGGCTGAGAATATTTATAACAGCCAAGTAACAACAAATCTCACTCCACATATGATCTAGCCCCACCTGAGCCTTGACAGTATATCAACATATAGGATTAGGGAGGAAAAAAAACAAACCAACAACCAGGCCCCCCAAGGAAAGACAAGAGGGAAACCTCAAATTCTTCTCCTAGAAATCTACTCATACATGAGACATAAGTCCCAGGAAAAAAAAAAAAAGGATAACTACACACAAAATGAGATATATAAAAGAGGAAGGGGAATACATCTCAACTGATGCAGAAATCCAAGATCTGTGAAAGCATGAAGAAAGAGGCAAACAAATCTCTTCCCAAATTCACAGTCCCTGGCAAAGGACCCCAGGGACATGAAAATGGATGAAATTCCAGAGAAAGACTATTAAAAAACTGATTGTTAAAATGTTCAATGAACTAAAAGAATATATAAGGAATGAATTAAGAGATTAAAAACAGAAAATGAAAGACCATTTCAATAAGAAATGGAAATAGTGAAAAGAAAGCAGTCAGAACACCCAGAAATTGAAGACACAATGAATCAAATTAAAAATTTATGTAAAATCATCATAAATTATGCATAGAAAATAAAACTTCAGACCTTGGGGACAGGGTATATAATCTTAAACACTCAGTATGTAATAAAGGAAAAAATAAATAAAAGACCATGAACAGAATAGACAAAAACTCTGAAACAGCATCAAGAGAACAAACCTGAGAATTACTAGGATAAAAGAGAGCATAAAGATATATGCTAAAGGCATTGAAAGCATCTTCAATGAGATAGCAACAGAAATTTTCCCCTATATTAGAAATGAGATAGACATTCACATACAGAAGACAAACTGGACACCAAATTGAGATCAGTGGCAGAAAAGGTCAGGATCGGAACAGAAACTCATGATCAAAATGCCTAACATAGAAAATAAGAAAAAAATATTAAAAGCTGCAAGAGAAAAATGTAAGGTCACTTAGAGGCAAACCGACAAGACTCACTTTGGCCTTTTCAACCAAGATCCTAAAATCAAAGAGGGCCTGGAATGAAATATTCCATTATCTAAAAGAAAACAATTGCCTGCCAAGATTTCTATGTCCAGCAAAGGTCTCTTTCAAGATTGATGAAAAAAATAAAAACTTTCCATGACAAGGATAAACTAAAAAAATTTATGACCAACAGGCCATCACTACAAAGAATACTCAAAAGATATACTGCACACAGAAGAGCCCAGAAACAAACTCCAAAGCTCCCAAATAGGAATGAGTAGGTGTTGAGAAATTACAGATAAAGATTATATTTAGGACCAGCTACAAAATTTGTGAACCCCTTGTGCATAAATTAAGAATTTCAAAACAATGATAAGAAGATCATTAAACCCAGCATGGGACCCTGTGCAATAGCACAGTTCACATACCCATGACATTGGAGAGGATAAAAAATCCAATATAACTTTCCTGCTGCGTGGATTATATTGTATCAGTTATCTAATGCTGTATAACAAGCTGCCCCAAAAACGTAATGGTTATTTTCAACAAGCATTTTATTTTATCATGATCTATGGGTCAGAAATTCGGATTTGATTCAGTTGGGCAGTTCTACTTTCACTTGATGTCACTTATATGATTTGAAGTAACCAGTGGCTTGAGTGGGGCTGGATTGTCCTAGTGAGCCTTGGTCATACATCTGGTACTCTCAGCTAGGAGTGGCTTGACCTCTCTTCATCTCATCTCTAATCTTTAAAGATGATAATCCAGGCTATAATGATGGAGGCAGAGAACTAGACTGCCTAGATCATCCAAATAATCAAGTGACTCCAGGTAATTATTAAGGAAGAACACAGTAAATGGTAATGTCACTCTCACATGAGACCTCAGAGCAGCAAGGAAAAATGGTAGCTTCATGTTCTTGGACTAGCATTTATTTACTTATTTTAGGATTTTTAAAATTAAATTACAGACGTAAAAATCAGTTAAGTTAGGCCTTTTGGTATAATACTTGGAATTACCATGCTGCTATTTACACAAAAATTCTCCTGGGATTTTTATTGGATTTGGTTAAATTTTCACACCAATTTAGGGAAAACAAAAAAGGTTTATCAGCTTCCTAATAAATTTTTAAAATGGTTATTAGTACAAGTAACTAATTCCTAACAGTCCCTGAGGATTTCCTAGTCTTCAAAATGCTTATCACAACAACATTCTATATTCTTGTAATAAATTCACTTTGGCCTAAATTAGGCATAATTAGTTTCCTCTACTTGAAACAAATCATATCAGAGATTTTTGGTTTTCTTGTGATTTCCTTTTTTTAAAAATTTTAATATTTATTTTTTAGTTTTCTGTGAACACAACATCTTTGTTTGTATGTGGTGCTGAGGATTGAACCCGGGCCGCACGAATGCCAGGCAAGCGCGCTACCACTTGAGCCACATCCCCAGCCTTGTGATTTCCTTAATTCAGCAACAAAGTGAAGAACATACCAAGCTTGTCCTCAATTGAATATATAAATGGTCTTAAATTTCCTCGAGTCTCCTTCACAAAATAATCAATGACACTGAAAAGGTTTGGGAGTGTTACCTGTATAAAGAGAAAGTGAGAGAAGGCTCAGAGTCACCCAGGTAAAGAGTAAGATATGCTCAACTGTAATTTAATGAGGATTCTTGTGTATTTCCTGAAAATCATGTCAGTAATTTACTTCGGTAGCTTACTGACTGACCGTAGTTTTCCTTACCCCTGTGTCTTATTTCTCCTTTTTAATAAGCATGTTGCAGTTCTCTGTTGAGGAATTACCCCTTACCTATTGAGTACAGTCTGGTGGACAATAATTAGCTACCTTGCTATTCTTCAATTAAGACATCAGAATTACTGAAGTTAGGCCAGAAATTTGAACTTGAGTAGAGGAACAAAAAAGAATAGCAGCTTTCTAATAAAATGGTTATTAGTACAAGTAACTAATTCCTAGTCAGTCCCTGAGGATTTCCTAGCCTTCAGAATGTTTATCAAAACAACATTCTATATTCTTGTAATAAATTCACTTTGGTCTAAATTAGGCATACTTAGTTTTCTCTTCTTGAAACTAAAGAATACTTAAAGCCAGAGAATTTAAGCATTTTAATATCTCATTGTGTCAGGATAATTTACTGATCTAGGAGTATCTGAAATGTAGCTTTACCCCCAACAAAAATTTTGTTGGTCACACATCTGGTGAAGTCTGCTTAAATGTGAATATCCCAGGTAACCTTGAAGAGGAAAAAAATTCATCAAAATGTAATTTGGTTGAGTGACAGACAGGGTTGGGGAGAGTGAAAGAGGAAAGCAGCTGTAGAGACTAATGACAGAAACGAGTACCAGTCCACCAGTTACAAAGATGTACCAGTTACATTATTCTTCCTTGACCATAACTTGTAATCACTTGATTATTTGGATGATCCTGTAGCAACAAGTTCTCTGCCTCCTTAGTTAGAACTTGTTTTAAAGCTTAGAAGGCATGGATCTGAGACATGAGAGGCACTGGGAGGCATTTATGGTGAAGATATAAGCAAGTCAAGTTACAGGAGTCAGCAGCTGCCTTGTTCTATAACCGTTATGGGTGAAGTATAAAAAATTCGATCACACTATCCTTTTTCTGTTCGATCAACACAGTGGGCCTAGAGAAACAAAGAAATTCTTTTAAGATTTACCAATTCCATTTAAGTGCTATTCAGAGACATTTTTCGGGGATCATCTTTCCTTTCTTACAGCCTAAAACAGCTGTATAACTTTGTATTAGCATACTAGAACATAGGATACACCACCACATTTTCATCAGTTGAGACGAGTGTAAATAAATTTTCTCACCTGAATGAGAGGTATAATAATATCTACTTCAAACAAATGAAAAAGATTAAATTGTATATGTAAATTAGCTCTATGCCCAACATGGTATCAGGTAGTTAAGATTTGATATCTTTAGCCACATGATAAGTCAGCTAGCATGGGAGAAAGGTTGAAGACAAGGAAGAAACCCTTTCTTCACTGGTATGTTGCTATTAAGAGGGAATTTCTGAACTTTTGCATTGCAAATTTTAGAAGACTAGTCATTTGCAGATTTCTTCCCATAGCACATTTTAATGCTTATATGTAAAATAGATGCTTAATAAAAATATTTTCTCTCCCTGAAACAATTATATTGATAAGAAATTCACAAGAAAACAGTGGAATTTTTAGAAGCAGATTATCTTCTACTTTACTTTTACCATCTGTCCTTGCATCTCACTTCTCACCCTAAATATCTTCCACCTGCAAGCCTCCTTATCTTGCCTATTTTTTTGCCACTATATCCCCAAGGGGGAAAAAAATCTGGTTTTCCATTCTTTATATTCTATAAAGATAAGTTTGGGAGGAATCAGGGAAAAGTTCATCAATAGCAAAGAAATATCTACTTACAGGTTTTTCCAGTTCAATAGTGTAGTTTTTCCCTATGCTCATCACTTTGTAGTGCTTGATTCTTGGCATGCTAAAATGAAACAAATGGTTAATCTCCATTTGATTATATGACTGAGCCAATGCAAACTCAAGTGAATATAAAATATGACCTATCTACTAAACCTATGTGCCCATGACTATAGTGGAGTGGGGTGGGGGTGGGGGAACCATCCCATCCCTGCTGGGTTGTTTATTTTTTTAAGCTGATTTACTGCATCTCTTTTGGGAGGCAACACATAATAGATACAGGAAATCTAGCTCACTGAGTAAGTGAATGAGAAAGAATAAAAGGGAAAAAGAATTCAAGAACTAAAAATCATTCAGGTAGAAAAAAAATTTTTAAATGTCAGTAAGCCACAAAGTAGACGTTATAAAATTTTATGTAGGTATATACAGAACTCTTTTTTAAAGAAGTAAAAAAAAAATTATTGAAAGCAAATTGCTTTCTCCTCTGCCTCATCATTAATTTAACCAGAGAGCCCTCCATATCCCTTATTCATCGTAACTCAAATACCACCTGGATATCTACTAACTCCAGAGCAGTCTTAGAGAAAGGAAATGTATAGCAGATGAATCGAAACCTTTTCTTTTCTATTGTCAAATAACACTCTAAATTATATGTCCCCCTAAATTCATGGTATTTTATTCATTATGAACTGCTGAAGAACAAAATATACATTTTATTCATCTTTGTATTACAGAATTAGGACATAATAAATATTTATGAAACTGAATTTTAAAAAGCTTAGAAGCACATATTCTGCTGCTATCTAGAACTAAACAAATTTATACAGAAAACAGAAGTCAGTGTCCATGCCAGTTATTTTTGAATAATAATAGTATGTTTGTCTTGAATTCCTTTGATTCATATGGCAATAGTGTTTAGAACCAAAACTTTTTCTATTGTTCAAAAATCAACAGCATTTATGATGATGTTATTTGTTTAAATGACAAACTAATTCAACATTTGTCCTATGTTCAGAAGCTGTCTAAAGCAAAATCATCAGATTAATCATCAGATTAATCTGGTCTACATGGCCTTTTCACCTTTTAAAAAAAAAAATTAGTTCTTTAGGGGCTGGGGTTGTGGCTCAAGGGTAGAGCACTCGCTTAGTATGTACAAGGTGCTGAGTTCAATCCTCAGCACCTCATAAAAAAAATAAATAAAATAAAATAAAAGATATTGTGTCCAACTACAACTAAGACAAAAAAAAAATTTAAATTACTTCTTTGTCCATTTCTATTTCATACTTCTCTACGACTGAAGTATAAAGAAGCCTTCTAATCAGGGGACTTTCCTAATATACCATTAAATCCAACTGTCAACTAAATACCATATTGAAAAATAATAATTATAATAAATTAATTCCAATGTATTACTTTCATAACATGGGATAAAATCTAACCAAACTTTCTCCTTCCTTAATGCTGATACTTCAGGTATCAGTTACAGACTAGTGAAAGAAACATTTTTGGACAGAGAATCTTACATGCACCCTTTTAGGGTGATTGACTCTGACTTTAGTTTTACCCCAACCATGAAAAGATCTTCATAATCTGTTACTTTTGAAAATTCTCTTCAATTTCAGTTAGAATTCTTGAGTTCTATAAAATAAGCAATTTCCATTTTTTGGAAGATTGATAGAAAACTTGTTTCAAATTCTGGTTCTATCATGTGCACTCTGTAAGTCCTCATTTTTCATCTATAAAATGGAGATGGTATGGCTGGGGTTGTGGCTTAGCACTCACCAAGCACTGCAAGGCCCGCACCACATAAAAATAAATAAATGAATAAAGGTATTGTGTTCAACTACAACTAAAAAATAAATATTAAAAAAATGGAGATGGTAATGATTTACCTACAGTACTATTGTGGGTTAATGCTTGCAAAGCTCTTTTTGTACAGTGTCTGATACATTTAAACACTCAGTATATTACAACTACTTTTTACAACACTTTATTGTTTTAACTTGGCAGTTTCTGTGAGTGTTCATCCCTTCATTTGTAAAACATAGAAAAAACTGTCTTGCCTCAGTGTTTTTCTTAAATCTGTTTTTTGTTCCCATGGTACTGGGAATCAAACCTAGGGTCTTGCATGCTAGGCAAGCACTCTACCACTGAACATTATCCCCATCCCTGTCTCAATATTTTTATTATGCCTGAAGGAAGTTTTTGCTATCACTCAATACAGGATCCATGAATGGTGTTATGTAAGGAGAAGATGATGATTGTTGTTAATAATAGCCATAATCTTATCACCATTCAGGGGAAAGCTGTGAGAGAAAAAGCGACAGAAATCAAACTAGATTGTGAAGCAAAAATAAGGTGGAAAATTTTATTGAAGTCGTTCAGGCTTTCGCTCATTTTAAATTTTGTTTTCCTTCATATACTGTTTTTTGTTTTTGGTTTTTTTTTTTTAGTTTTCTACAGGCATATATGGCAATAGTGTTTAGAACCAAAACTTGAGAAAAAGTCAAGATCATTAAAATTTGCTGTTTAAGATTTTCCTGATTATAACCTAAAAAATTAAGCAACTAGTCTTTTTTTAAAAAGAAATGTGTGGCCTTAAATGTGGTTATAAGTACGTATTCCTACTTTCTGATCTCAATTTTAGCCAAAAAGAAAAAATAAACTTTGGCTAAATGTTTTTTACTGCTTAATTAGCCAATGGCCTTTCAAAGTGTCTGTAATACAAGCATGGTACCTAGCTGTAACAATTCCAAGAACATGAAGTTGTTGCAAGAATAGCTTTATGTCTGATCAATTCTTTTGCCACTGGGCTGGGTAGAGATGGATGGTCTTCTCCACCAAAAGAGGAGTCACCTGGTATTTTGGCTTTGAATGACTTCTGTTTATTTATGATAATACTCTTCCCTCCCACAGCTGATCTGTTAACAGATGGAAAACATTTTACTTTCAAGTATTGCTTTGTAAACCAACTTGTTCTTTTCAGCTCATGTTTTACCAGACACACTCTTCTAACTTGCATGACTGAACATTTCTCCTATAACCTTCCTGTAAGAAAATGAATTGGTTTGTGGGAAGCACAGGTGCTCTATAATAGTCTAGATTTCTGCCAAATTCTTTAAGCTAAAGTTCACATATTCTCTATAATTGCTATCTTTAAAAATTAAGTAACCTGTTAAATAGAAGATATTAAATTCAGACATTTTAAAAGGTCTGTTTGATACATTAGAGAACAAAAGTAATGATCCTAAACATAATATATCTATTTGGCTCACAAAGGGAATTTATGTGACAAGAGTTAAAATTTTCTAAGCCACTTCTATGTCTAAAATATCCTCCAAATCCTAAATAAGCACATACTGAAATAAATAATGTTTTAGTAAGACCATTCTACCTCAATGCTGGGTTTCTAAATATAAACTGAGTGTGGGAGTTAGTTTTATCCAATCTTGTATAAATTTTATGACCATCAGCTCATTTCAAACTAGATCTGAGTATACTAAAATTAAATTATGTAACTTTGATATGAACTTCTTTACCAAACTATTTCTTATGATTTTGAAATATAGCTTAAATACAATTCAAATGTAAGTAAAACTGTGATGTTAAGTTCATGTCCTAAGCATACAAACACTGTCTGATCATAACTGGAAACAGTGTTGTTTCTCATAGCTAATTGCAAAGGTTGGATGTAGACTATCTTAAAATATTCTATTGTGCAGAATATATATATATTTTTTAAGTGGATCAAAAACAATTAGACCAAGAAAGAATACATGAAGAAAAAAAATTGCTCTTTTATGACCTAATTTTGCTTTTAAGCATTTAGATTATGTTTCTTTAAGAAAAGAAAATCTATATAAATTTTAATTCAGTTTTATATTCTCTTATTTTTTATGGAAGGTCAGTTAAAGACATTCTATACTTTGGGAAATTACTCAATTTCCTAAACCCTGAAATATGTCAAACTCCTGGGCCAGGAGACACGAAACAGAAAAATCTACTTTTTTTCTCAGGGGTTCTAGGCTCACTGACATTTAACAGCAATCTTAACTTTTTATTTATTTTTTTTATTTCAAGATAGTCAATTAAGGGCTGGGGATGTGGCTCAAGCGGTAGCGCGCTCGCCTGGCATGCGTGCGGCCCGGGTTCGATCCTCAGCACCACATACCAACAAAGATGTTGTGTCCGCCGAGAACTAAAAAATAAATGTTAAAAATTCTCTCTCTCTCTCTCTCACTCTCTCTCTCCTCTCTCACTCTCTCTTTAAAAAAAAAAAAGATAGTCAATTAAGTTATAAATCAAATATGTTGAACTAAAACATCTGTGATATTCTACTATATTCATTGGAGTTGAAAATCCAATGTTAATGTTTAGCTTATGATAACTTGTTATTATAGCATATGTTATCAGCTAACAAATATTGACTTACAGTAAACAAAAAACATAAAGAGGTCACAAAAAAGTTGACAGGTATTCCTTGTGAAAAAATACATGTACATATGCGCACACACACACACAAACACAGAATGAGGATCTGATTTAGCATCTAACATTCTTGCCATCTATTCAGTGCATATGACAAGTATATAAAGAAAAGTATTTATATGGAGTAACAGACAAGTGAATGAAGCTTCACTGGATTTTTTTTTCTCACTTCTATTTCCTTGGTGCTCAGAGAATTACTTTTCATATTGTAGTTACTCAATAAATATTTGTTAATTTGAAAGAATGAATACAACTATATTTTGTTGAGTTGAAAGAATATATTTTATGATATTCCCTCCCTATTCTTATGTTTATATTTTGGCTCCAGCAAAACATGTAGCAGGTACTGATCTGAATTTATATGACTTTGCTTTCTAAAGTGGTGTCATGCTTTTAACAATTTCTCACATTTAAAAAAATTAAACATACTCTATCTCCTGTCGGATAGTGATGGAGTAGTTTCTACTATCACTACCAGGCCTCAGGATCATATTTCCCAAGGAAGGATTCTTCTCCAGCATCTCAGTGGCTTCTTTCCGGGAAACTGTATAAAAGCATCTACAGAAGTAAGATAGAAAACAGACTTTGTTTTTCACTGATAAATACAATTACTTAAAAATAATACTACCAAAATACCTTTGAGAGCTTAGGTTATTAGATTTTCTTAAAACTTCTAGTTATATATTATGTAACAATTACATAATTATTACTATATATTATTACAAGTGTATGCCACTCTGAGTAGACTAATGCCAAAGGCCTCCTTCCTTCATTCTTCCAAAGCCCCTTGTTTTTAATATAGCTGATCAGCATATACTGACCATTACCATTTGACAATCTAAAACAACAGTTAACAATATATTCTCAGTTTCAGTTGACAAACAAGATCTGGGATAATATCTTATGGTGGTTTCCTTTCAAGGTCAAAATACTTCTCTAAATGTTTCTCTTCCTTGATCTCTGCTTTAAATAACTGATAGTAAGGTTATTTCTGAACTCACTCCTTTTGGTATAATATATCTTTATATGACACTGGTGGTATTTTTATGCATAAAATAAAAAATAAAGCATTTCCCATTTTATAATGTGTATTGTAATCAGTGAAATATATAGTCAAATTCATTGAAAAAAATCAGGCTGGATATACAATATACCAAAAATAGTAATGGCAAATATCTCTGAATAGCAGGACAGGGAATGATCTTAAATTTCTCTTTATTTATCTGTAATTAACATATTAGTTGTTTAGTTGAGCAAAAAAGAAAAAGCAGTCTGTGACTTTTAAACCGCTAGTCCATCAGTTTCTTGGTAAAAGTAATGGTTAGTGGGTTTCAGTGATTGTAGTAGTATATATAGACAATGTATTAGAATCTGATGTCAAAGATGGTACCAGGACAGGTTTCACTGACAAGAACACCAAGATTCTAGAAGGAAAGGGCTCACCACCTTTTCAAGTAAATATAAGAGAAATGGAGGATGATGTTCAGTTCAGCATGTTCTGTGCCCAACAACACCACACATACTTTGGAAACGGCTTTCCTTAATGACTTGTACTTTTAAAGTACAAGCTTTATGACTACTTACTGATTGGTCAGCTGAACACATTCCAAGTATTTAAAATTATTTAGTATAATTTATTTTTAAAATTTTTTTTAAATAAAACAATCACTTAGTCAATTCTTTTTTTTTTTAAAGAGAGAGTGAGAAGGAGAGAGAGAGAGAATTTTTAATATTTTATTTTTTAGTTCTTGGCGGACACAACATCTTTGTTGGTATGAGGTGCTGAGGATCGAACCCAGGCACACGCATGCCACGCGAGTGCGCTACCACTTGAGCCACATCCCCAGCCCCCCAGTATAATTTATGATAGAAGACAAGTCAATTATAGAGTGCCGCAGTCTGGCTGGGCACAAAATAACAGATTCCCCACGAGGCACTTGTAGGTTCAAACATGAACTCCTTTATTGCCGGAACTCCCACAAACGCCACCCATGCGGCCCTTCCAGGAACACCCCCAACCAGAATCCCTCCTCTGAACTCCAAAGTAGCACTGAGGCAAACAGCAAGGGTCTATATACAACTGAACAGCAGTTTAATTTAACCATTATCATCTCAATGGCTCGCTGGCATCTCTCATCCACTCCCTTCTGGCAAAAATGCTATGCCTCATTGTTGAGGGCTGTTGTATGGTGAAAATAGCTTTTCCTTCCTCCTTCATAGGAACTTTTATTTAGGTCTGAGCTCCGGAAAGTTTATCTGTTTGGTCTAAAGGTGTGGGTGGAAGGGGATTTCCTATGTGGTAAGAAGATTGGTTCAACTCTGCAATATGTTGAACATAACAGAAGAGGAAATGTGGCAGGTACTCAAAAATACACAGCTTATCCTCAAAGAGTTTTTATTGTCCCAAATTTAATAAGGTCAAGTAGGTAGCTCTACTTAATAATTAGATTTTAATTAGTCTTAAGTGAATGAATAAACTGGAATTCATTGTGTACTTACACTGGCATAGGGTTCAGTACATCCACATAATCTTCAATTGATTCCTTCTCTTTTTCCAGAGATGTGTTTGGTACCTGCTGTGTCTCAATCCTCCTTTTCTTTTCTCTCTCTAGGACTTCATGCAGTCTAATAACTTGCCCAGGTAAAAGTGACACATGTTGTGGAACTGACAGCTGAAACCAGTTAAATAATAGGCAGATTAGAAAGACAGTTAAGTTACATATTTATTTAGTAGAGAATATCCTATTATGATGCTAAGGGCTATAGTTACCTGACAGAGAAGAATGGACAGAATCATGGAGAAAACAACTTGATCTAGAGTGAATGTCTTAGAACTGCCCCTAAACCAACTAGAACCTATGCAGGGTGACACCTGTCTTCCAATAAATCAACCTTATGACCTGGTCCCAAAGCAAGCTGCATCTACCTAGTACTAAAAGTTAATTTAAGTAACAACCTCTCAATTTCATTCTAAGATCACTAGTACATTGATGCAGGAAAGTTCAAGAGTACAAATTAGAAAGTGAGAGCACAAATTAGAATACATTCCATTTTATTATGCAACATAGAATTGAGGTAGAGCTACCCAGTAGATGACAAAAGATCAGCAATCAGAGGTCTCTATTTTGGTGTGTTTCAAACATTCATTCATATATTCAATTAAGGTACTTTTGAAACACCTAAGCAATCTCATTCTGCTTGGGACCTCATTTTGCTCTTAAACTTAACCTCTGACCTACTATAGTCCTAAAGTCAGGAAAATACTACAGAAAAGCTCTGTAAAAACAGTTCTCGGAAAAGCTGCAGATGGTAGTCACCTAAGATAGGCCAAGATAACCACATATCTGAAATTCCAGATGGCCCCCACCTAGGTATAGTGACCAGAATCTAAACTAGAAGCCCTGCAGTTTGGCACGTAGCCCCCTTGCAGCATACTCACGATTTAAATCGATCAATTTTAAGTGCGTCAACCCCTTGAACTAACCAATAATTCTTTCCAGATTGTTTCCCGCCACTTGATACACTAATCATGTTTTAGAGTTGTTATTTGATTTTCCCGCCATGTGTGATGATTTGCTAAGAGATGCTATGATGTATGTGGGGTCCCTGCCTTCTCCAAAGAATGTATAAAACTGCTGCAAACCCTGAGCTCGGGCCTCTTAGCATCACCTGTTGCTGTGTGGGCGGAGGACTACTGAGCTAGCTCGCAATAAACACTTCTTTGCTGCTTACATCGATCTTGGTCTCTGGTGGTCTTTAGGGGGGTCCCGAATTTGAGCATAACACTTTTACTATTCTATCGGTTTTGATGTTTTCTAGAGATATATTTTAGACTGATTCATCCATATATGTCCTCCTGAAGTCTATCTGTACCTCCAGTTTACTACCACATTATGACCAGCTGTGTTCTCTTGGGGGTATAGTCTGAATGGCAGAATATTTTTCTATATGTGACACTTGCTAGTCTATATGTAGAGGCAGCCATAATTGATTATAATCTGTATAACCAGAGGGGAATGCATACTTTTCCAGTGGTATGCAAGATAGTCCATGTGAATATGGAAAGAAAACAGAGCTGCACTTTGTATACTGTTTTTTTTTTTTGCTTCATTTATTATCTATTATATAAATCTGTAAATGTGAAATTTAAATAAAATTTACCAGTAGGCACATAATCAAAAACATTTAGAGATCATTCCCCTAGGTAACTAAGCTACTTAATAGCAAGCAAAGCTATTTCTTTATATGCCAAACTAGAAAAAATAAAATTAGGGTTAAAAAAACTAATAAAATGGTTATTCCTTAAATTTTAAATGTTATTTTTTTTTTCCTTTCAGCTACTTTTTACTACTATTCTAAAGCATCATACACACAACAATGTTATAAGACATGATTGTCCCCTCTTTACAAGTAAAAAGACAAAAACAACAACAACAAAAATTCTTCAAAAGATTAAATAACTAGTCCAGGGTCACATAGCTAGGAAGCCGTGGAACCTGTACTCCAACTTGTGTTTGTTTATTTGACTCAAAAGCCATGTCTAACCTCTTCAGCTGGTATGTGTTTCTCACACTTCTCTACTATAATTCTAACAACGTATGTGTATGACTGTCTACACATGGTGATCATGGTGATCTGGGACCATAGCACAAAACATTTATAGAGCACAAAAATCAAGAAAACTTGTCTTCTCTAAAATTTACATAAATTTTATTTTATGTGCATGTTTTAATAGAAAAATAATGTTGTTTATATCCTTACCTCAAAGAGTAAGTATAATTAGTGTATTGGAAGATGTACCAAGGTTTTTCTAGCGTTCTCCCTGAGGCCTCCGCTCATATTCTTAGAATACTTGCACCCCAGCATAAGAAGCAGAGTGGCATATTGAAGCCAGATTTAAAGTTAGGTAGTCAGTGTAGTTAGATAAATCGGGGTCTAATACCGAGTGAAATCTAAAATGGAGGCCATGCTGAGAATGATTCCGGAAACGCAGGACAACTCATGGAATGTTAATGAAGTCCAGGACAACTCATGGAATGTTAATGAAGTCCGAAAAGGCTCTAGGCCAAAGTCCACCTCAAAGAAGTGTTAATGAACAGCCCCCAGCAAACTTGAAGGTGCTGACTCAGAAGTCCTTCCTGACCAGATTACTTCTTTGGCCCACCTGTGTCCCACCCCTCAGGCCTTCCCACCTACATTCCATCACCAAAACTATAAAAAGGGGAGACAACCGCACTTCCATGGATTCCACCTCTTGGGTCCCCTTCTTCCTCCGGGAGAAGTCTTTTCTGCTGTCCTTTAATAAACTTCTAATTTCTACTCTGACCTTGCCTCGGCGTGCTTCTTTGGTGTTATTCTTCAACATTGGGGAAGCAAGGACTTGTCACCGGTCAACAGCGGTAACAATATGATGACACCTTTCCATTTTGTTAGGAAGAACTTGATCCAGGCAATGCCCTTTTGAAACATATCCTCCATCTTAGAACAAGAGTCAAGCTCACTCTGATTCAGCCTGATTGAAACCCCAGACAACACTCTATTGTCATGCAAAGAAAGTAAATTGTTATTTGGGACTTGAATTCTGAAAACACCCAGTTCTACCTGGAACAGTGACTTCCTCAAAGAATAGAGGTGAAGACCACAAGGACCCTTTCCTGACAGCCCCTTAGCACAAGCCTAACCCCAATAATTCACTCATACCCCAAGTATATCTCAGTCTCTACTGAGTCCCCCTCTCTGAGTTTGTCCTGAATAAACCTGTGTTACTGTTGAGCCTCCTCTCTCTTTATTTTCTTCATTCAGGTCTTTCCTTATATCCATGACAGAAGGAGAAAGTACAGTTCCCCCCAAGAATTCCTTCCCCATGCTGACAAGTCAACATGTCCTTCTCATCCTAAACTGGTTTACTTTTCTAACCTTTCATGACTTCATTACATGGCAGATGAACCTCCAAGCTCTACCTGTTACTGGCTAAGAACCAGCATCCAACATCTGTGTAAAGTGCAGTGCTTATTTCATGTGACTCCAAAGGTTTTACTTGGAAACTAGCTTTGGATAGAATCTGTGTTTAACTGACCCTAATAAATGTGGATTTTTTAAATTACCTTTAAAAGTATTAGAGAACATAGTGTTTTTGAGGGGCCTGGTTATCAAAGTATCTCCTGTTTTGAGTTCAATTGCTATATGGCTTTATTCAAATTAATGGTAGTTATCTTGTTACAACTGCTAACTCTAAATACTTGATCTTACTATTTTCCTCTGACAAGATGCCATCCAATTAAACAGATAAACATCCCATCCGTTCAAGATTCACTGAACAAATGTTTAAAGGTGAGTTTTAATTTTTATGTCTCTCTTTTATGTTGTCTGTTATCCATAAAGTACATATCAGTAAATATTTTGTAAATGAATAAGAAAGGAATTGGAAATTATTTTAGAGAGTACTATGTAAGCTACAAATGTCAGAATATACAAAGAACCTCTGTGTCAAAAAGATAAGATAGGAAAAGTAGATTCTCTAACTACCTGTTAGTCACTAGCATATTGACTGGTTTATTTTCTTTGCAACAATTATCACAATGTGTAATGATCCTGTTTGTTTACTTGTTTATTTTCTTTCTCCCTCTCTACCCCCCTCATAGAAATGTGATTTTCAGGAGCAAGTGCAAGGATTTAGGTCTGTCTTTTTAAATTGCTATATATTTTGCCACTTACATGGTTCAGAGTAGGTCAGAAAATATGTGTTGAATAAATGAATCAATCAAGAGTAATGATCTCCCACCTCTGTTACTGTAAGAATGAAGCCTCTCCATTCTTCCCCACTTTCTGTGTTTTCTGTCTAAAGATGAAGACAAAAAACAAAGACAAAAGAAACACATGAGTGATTATGAGTATTAATTCTTTAACTTCAAATAACTTTAGACTTTCATATGATTATATTGTGACAAGATACATAATTCAACAAAACAGCAAGATTTACAAAATGCATATTCTTTCAAAGTACATTGTTTAAGGAAACAGTTGTAATTTTTCTAAAACACTTAAATTCAGCTGAAAGGCAGAAATAACTCATTTTTCTTTTTTAGTTCTACTAATGTGTGTTTCTTATAAAATATTTCAATACTGTTTTCTTTTATCAGAAAAAGAACTATGAACCTTTAACTTCTATGCTTACTAAACAAGTAAAATTGTACAAATTTATACTTAGCTCAAAAAAATCAAATATTAGCAAACTCATTTTTGCAGTATATCAATTATTGCTTATTTTCTCCATTGCTATTCAGCATTAACCAGCTTAAAGTTTGGGGCAACCAATGTAGAAACTGAATTCTTAACTTTAAATACCACTACTGGTGGTATTTAAATACCACCACTGCTACTCATAATAACAGTATCACCCAACATTTTTGGAATGCTTATAATGGCAGCTACTGTTCTACACATGCCACAGGTACTATTTTGTTTGATATTATTGAACAAACATAGGAGGACACTGTTTTGACTAGGCTTCTGCACTGAGTCCCTACAGACCAGATTAAAAATCAAAATGGAGTCACTCATGCAACATAATTTCCACATCACTAATCCAAAACTAAGTTTTTATGTGACTAGTGGATAAAAGAGGGGAACAATGTTACAATTTTAATAAGATGGTTCAAATAGTCCCTAGTCAGAGGATTACATCTGAGTAAACATATTTCTGGGTGAAAAAACAAGTGTGTAGAGAGCTTCAATAACTTTCCTACAATCACACAACTACTACCTAAATCAGCCCAAAATGAAAGGCAGACACCTGTTATGGTTTGGATATGAGGTATACCCTGAAAAGTTCATGTGTTAGGCAATGCAGGAATGTTAAGAGGTAAAATGATTAAAATATGAGAACTACAACCTCATCAGTGTATTAATCCATCTAGTAGATTAAATTTCTTGAAGGGACTATTCAATGGTAACTATAGATAGATGAGAGTGTGGCTGGAGGAAGTAGGGTGTGCCATTGGGGATTATAGACTATATTATGTCCCTGGCTTCCTGTACTTTCACTTTCTCTCTCTCTCTCTCTCTCTCTCTCTCTCTCTCTCTCTCTCCTTCCCAGCAGCCATGAGCTGAGCAGCTTCCCTCTGCTATTCCTTTCACCATGATGGGCTCACATCAAGCCTAGAGCAATGGAGCCGGTTGACCATGGACTGAAACTCTGAAACTGTGAGCCCAAAATACACTTTTCCTTCTCTAAGTTGTTCTTGTCAGGTATTTTTGGTCATGGCAACAAAAAGCTGACTAACACAACACCAGACTCATTCTGTGCTGTAAAACACTTTATCAGCTGGGAAACTTGCTTAAAATGTAGATTCTGGGTTTCAGGTTTACATGGGGTCTGGCTTTCCTAAATCCAGGTAATTCTTATTATGCTATAGTTTAAAAACTATTGATTTCAAGGTCAACCAGTAATCTCTTGGCAGTATCTCCTATTACATCTTATTCAATTCCAAGTTGTTCTTTTTATGTTTATGTTATTACTACAGTTGTTGGCTTATTATTAATTAGCTCACTTTGATGATTCAAGAACAACTTTTTAAAAACACCAGGTGGGATCCCTGACTTTGTCAAAGAATAGAAGTGTAAGCTTTCATTGTATTTGTATACTAAATAAATGAACATTCTCTTCTAAAATCCAGTTCAGAAAAGTATACTTCTTGGTTAAAGGCAAGAAATATTAACAAAGTATAAACTTAGCCCCTCTTTTAATTCCTCTTTATTTTACCTACTGGGTTTTTAGAGGCAAATGCTATTATAATCACAGCTCTTTACAGACTGTCTCTTCACTCACCTTCAGCTGCACTTCCTCTTTTGGCAAAACAAGGGTGAATTTTGCACAATTCTTTTCAGTTGAATTTTGGTCAGTAAGGCATGTAAGGTCTATTATGTCTAGTTTGTCCACGTACTACAAAGATAAAAGAAAATCTCATTATTTCATGGATCATACATATTGTAGCAGGAAAAAAGATAATATTTAACTTTAAATTGATTAGTCATTTACATGATACCCAACCCCAGAGGGTATTTGGAAGTGCTTATGAGGTGTTCTGTTGGACCTGAATCATATATGTTTGCAAAATTATTAAGTTTTCATAAATTTTGCAAGTGAGTTGTTAAACATAGGCACTATTAAAAATTAAATTATATAGGGCTGGAGTTGTGGCTCAGTGGTAGAGTGCTTGCCTTGCATGCATGAGGCACTGGGTTTGATCCTCAGCAGCACATTAAAATAAATAAAAAAAATGTTGATCAATAACTAATTTTTTAAAAAAATTAAATTATATAGATATAATTTATGGGCTGGGGATGTGGCTCAAGCGGTAGCACGCTTGCCTGGCATGCGTGCGGCCCGGGTTCAATCCTCAGCACCACATACCAACAAAGATGTTGTGTCCGCCGAGAACTAAAAAATAAATATTAAAAATTCTCTCTCTCTCCCCTCTCTCCTCTCTCACTCTCTCTTTAAAAAAAAATAGATATAATTTATAAGTAATTATATTAAAACAAAATTATAGCTAAAACTCAATTTATTATTTTCTAATTATATTACTACACTTTACCATGCTTTATGCTTTTGTGGTTATTTATGTCTTTGTTCTGTGTGGTAAATACTGTATCATGGTGCTACTGTGCTTTTATTCTCAATTTCTTGTTCAGTGAGGTCACACTGATAGGTTTAAATCAGTCATGGAAGGAATATTTATAGGATTGGAATTGGTAAACTCCTTACAATTCAGGGCTTAATTGTCCCAGGGGCAGCTTTTGTTTGTTTGTTTGGTAAAATATCACATAGTAAAACTTAGGCATAAAGTCTCTGTTGCATATTCTTGTTTTTGTTTCTGTTTTTTCTTCACAAAATTTTAAAATGTAAAAGAAACAAATTCATAGCTCAGACTGTATAAAATCAACGCCAGATTTGGCAGGTTTGGTCCAAGGTCCACTGACTTCTGGCCTCCATGCTAGGCTTAAGAAAGTAAATGAAAGAATGTTAATAATGCAGATGAAACTTCTAAGTTTGTTGTAGCCAAAGCTATTTCAATATAAATGAGAAAAAGTTGACAAAATATTAACTAATTCATTGAAGAAGCTGATTCAGCAAAAATCAAAAAAAGCATTCTGTAAGAATCAATTTGCTAAAAAGGAAATTATAACAAAGGGAATTGTACATTGTTCTAATTGTGTGCTATACATCTTTATATCAATAACATTTATGTTTTTATGTACATATATTCATACATACATTTTTTCCAGAAAGCAATTTTCAACTTTTACCACACGCCACTAGTTACGAGAATCTTATTAAAAAGTCACTATCTTATCTAAGTAGAAAATATATATATATTTCTTCAAAGCAGTTGGTCTATATGGACTGATCTACATTCAATGAGACAGCTTTGCCTTCTAGTATTAGAAAAAAACAACTGTAGTAAGGGTTTTTAATGTGTGTGTTTGTTTTTGTTAAACTATCTTAATTCTCTTAGTTATGCTTAATGTAACTTGTTTTACTGTATTCTTATAAATGTTATTTTATTTTTTGAATCAGGTAGGACATGAAAATAGGAAAATAAAAATTTTCCAGAGCCATCTCTATATTGATGAGGTTGAGAATAAATTTGGGTTGGTCTGTTTATGTTCAATGAACAAAGAAGATTTAAAAATAGAAGAAGAGGTACAAAGAAATGAAGTCAGACTTTAAAATTAAACAAAAAAAGTTTTTTTTTTTCCTGATGAACAGTCTAGATCAAACTCAGTGAGTTTTGCAGCAAAAAAGAGGAAGCAACAAAGGAAGAAGTGGTAGAGTTAGATAGAGTGCTGTGGGCTGATCCATTGATTAGAAGAAAGGAAGTCACATATTTTGTTTTTAATTGTAGTGTCACAAAGAGTCTCAAAGGTCAGCTGTTTAATGTAGCTGCCACCTGATGCATGACCCTGATCCAGGGTCTCCTGCCAGTAGTCCTTCAACCTATGATTGAACATCTTCAGTAACAGGGAGCTCATGTCTCCCAAGTAGCTCTGCCTATTAGCAAGCTTTTGGTTGTACTTAGCTACAGTTTTCCTCCAGGTAAGTCCCAGCCATTGGTGTTTGTCCATTTTCTCTAGAATAACTCTAAACAAATTCAGTGGCTCTTTCATATGACTTAAAGTCCTATAGACATGTGAAGACAGTTTTAAATACTGCCCTGCTGAAAGCTAAATAAATACCTACAATTCTCTCCTGGTCTGTCCCAGTTTTATCTCCTGAGACAATCACCCCCCCCCAAAAAAAAACCTTCCCAAAAAGTCTGCATCCTCTTTTGAATATCAAAATTGGTAAATGAGTAATTCTGCAGCATTTCATTTTAACAGCCTTTTTATAACGGAGTAGTTCAGAAGGCTGGCACATGAGCAAGACCTGTATTGTACCCCTTTTATTAGCTGTCTGATCTTGTACAATTTCCTAAAACTTACCTTCAATATTCTCATCTATAAAGTGGGGATTAAAAATGTACCAACTCTGGAGAGTTGCTGTTAGAAATAAATAGATAATGTACATAAAATTTGAATGCTTATTATTTGCCATGTATTCGCTTATATTCTTACATGACCCATCTCATAATTCTTTTAATAGTCTTATGAGATGGACTATGTTTCATCCTACATTTAGTGATTTGAAGACTGAGAGTATGGCTATCTCCTCTACAACTCTTTTTGTAGTTTGCCTCTCTAAATTCACTTATCCTTTTACTACCCAACTCTATACCAGGAGAGGGACCTTTAAGGATGACATTAAGGACTTCCCTTATTCTTTGACTTGTTGTTCTGTTGGACCACTGAGGAACACTGGCAGGGGATCAGAAGGGGGAGGAGAGTGAAGTTGGGTATTTCTTACCCTGTGTGGTTGTTTCCTCAACCAAAGATCCTACCTCTCTCAAGTATGATCTCTCTCATTCTTTTCTTTTTCTCCTTTTTCTTGGTAATAAGGCACTATTATTAGCTCCAGGGTTCTATACTATCCTTTGTGATGTCCTTACTGTGCCCATTGCTTTGAATATTTATTAAAACTTTATTATATTTTCTTCACGTTGTGCAATTTGAGATGTCATCATTTTTCTACCAGTTCCCTCTTTGATACCCCGAGACACAGAGAGATTAGGTAAGTAGCCCAAGACCTCACAGTTAACAGTGGCAGGATGGGCAATGTCTGAGCACACCAGGCTCTCCAGTCACCAAGCTGTACTGCCTCTTGCCACATTGTAGTAAGTGAACAAGAACTGTTAACATTCACATTTACTGTGCATCATACAAGGTTTTAGATGATGAGCTTTTGATTCACTAACATCAGTGGGAAGTTGGAATGCACAGCAGAGAACTTCATTTTTCAACAATTTATTGTGGTTTCTGACAACACCATTGTATAAATCTTGTTCATCCAGAGCTCTGGTAAAAGATGACCATTTTAAGTTTTTTTGTTTTTGTTTTTAATAGTTTTCAGCTAGTTCACTGCTAATGGGGCTGAAATGCCTAAATGTGGGATACATCACACAGCTGTCTTTTTGTTTCTTTCATTAAATCAGGTTATGACAGCTCTAATAATGATGTTCTAAGAAGTACAGGCTACTGTATTCATGATGTAAATACTTATATCTAAATAAGTTTATATCTGAATAAGTTACTGGCCCATAAAATTTATTGTAAGTATAATATTCCAAGGTAGGCAAACACTTGCACTAAAATATCTTATTCATGAAATAAATGAAACATACAATTAAAATTTGAAATTAAAACAAATAAATCCCTTGTGTTGCTCTCATGCTTTTGGGGATATGTTTTTGTCTTTATAGAAAAATTAATTTGTGACATTATATGTTGTTTTGTTGTTTTGTTTCAGATTATAACTGCATGCTACAGCAAGATAAGAAGTGAAGAAATTGAGGCTTTCACTTGCTATTAAGTAATTTATATCCAGACACCCAAAAGTTCCACCTTTTAACTAAGCTCTAATTATCAGGATCAGAAAGAAGAGAATGCTGAGTTTAAAACACGAGCTAATACCTTCTGAATTGCCCAGGAAATTTTACCTTGAATTTATCATAATTTACAGCCATCAGATTCAAACTTTTTCAGCTGACTTGGTTTTACTACAACATCTTTATTTTTGGATGGCAGAAAATCCAAAACAAATAATAGACTGTGTGACATGGGCATATTGAGAAAAATTGAATCAATTGAATTTGTTTAACTACTTACTATTGTATTTTTCTTGTCAGTATAAAAGAAAAGTGTAGTTCCTCTCAACTCTGTCCAATAACGTTTATACTCCTGTGGGAAAGAAATCATAGGCATTATTTCTTTAGTGTATATTCAACTATTTTCTTTTTAGATTTCTCAAATGTTTGTGAAGTTTCTTCTTTATCCTAAATGATTACCCTAATTTTTAATGACTTAAGTTTATATTTCATTCTTGATTAAATTCTTGTCAAATTTAGTTTAGCATAATATTTGAGGTAAGAATACAGTTTGATTTGTATTTAGATAATTTTCCAAATTCTTCTCAATGATTTCAGACTGTTTATAAATTTCAGTGGAAGCACATGAAAAGTGCTGTTTAAGGACCCAGAAAAGAACAAGGGTATGATATCTAACTTTTTTGATAATGACAAAAATAATAATACCATCAAAATTAAACTTTGAAGATTAAATTTCATTCATGTGTTATTTAATTATTAACACATTCACATTACTATGAATTCTATAGAAATATGATATTTTAAGTTTTAAAAATTTCAATAACATCATCAGACTCTCATTTAACTCAAGTGAAAGCCTACTTCAGTAATTATGTAGATTGACTATATTATAAAAGAATAACAAGTGAGTTTAAAGAATAAAGAATAAAATATTTCTACATTTAAAAGCTTACCTCCATAACTAGTTCTTTCCAAAAGTATCTTTTTAAGAATTCTAGTAGGCTTAATAGACATCTAGCTCAACCTTTCTTTTAGGATTTATCTATCTATCTATCTATCTATTTATTTATTTATTTTTGTGCTCAGGAGCACTCAACCACTGAGCCACATTCCCAGCCCTATTTTGTATTTTACTTAGAGACAGGGTCTCATTGTGTTGCTTAGGGACTCATTTTTGCTGAGGGTGGCTTTGAACCTGCTATCCCTCCTGCCTCAGTCTCCTGAGCTGCTGGGATTATAAAAGTGTGCCACTGCACCTGGCATCTTTTAGGATATAGTAAGTTGAATTTTTGCAATTTGATGAGTCATTATGGCTCACATGTTGAGGATAGAGGTAAGAAAGCCACAGAAATAATTTTCTTCATTTTTTCCTAAATGTGAAGATACTTTTTACTCTAATATTTTTACCCTTTCCATATTGACATATCATTTATTCTTATTTTGACCTAGGACAACATTTGTCACCTCTTCAGAATTTATGCATTCATTTTCTCAAATAATAGAAACTCTACAACCTCATCTTGCTTTTTTCCTAGCTCCCAAGATTAGATAATAATAAAATAATAATTTTGTTTTACAACCATCATATTTTCTTGTGTTCTTGATAGAACTAGTTTCACCTTTTAATAAGAGGCTTTATAATTATTTTTTTCTATAAAACAAACCATCCTACCAAACAAACCAATACCCAAGTGCACTTACTGAACTAAAACAGCAAATGTTTTCTATTTCTCACCATTCTGTGGCTGGCTAATTGCTTTTCTGATCTGGATGTATGTGGCTGTGGCTAAATGGTCTAGAGTGGCCTCATTTACCTGTATAGGTCTGAGTTGTGAATGTAGAACTAGTGGAGAAGGCTGAAACAGGTTAATTCTTATGATCTCTCATCCTCCAGTCAGCTAGTCCAGATTTGTTCACATGCTGGCAGAAGGATTCCGAGGAGTAAGAGAGGCAAGAATTCAGAAGCATATTCTAAGCTTCTGCTTTCATCACATTTACCAAAGTATGTCATCTGACCCATTCCAGAGGCAAAGGATGGAAAAATAGGCTCAAACACTTTGAGGGAGAAAAGGAAAGTCAAATTTCAACGGGATGTGGATATAGTGAAGCTTAAACACATCACTAATATTACTGCAGCAGTCCACCCCAGGCACAGAAATGAATCTTGGGACAAGGTATCTTTGTCCAAGTTCTGTGGTCATTTCACTCCAATTTACATCTCTAATTAAGAGCTGGCTAAAAAAGTGTTATACACCAGCAGATGCTACTTAAACAAGAAAAAGTCACCATAGAAAAAGAACAATTCAAAAATATATATGATTCAGGGATCTGTCAAAATATAGTCCTCATTGGTGCAATTACAAAATCAGGCAAAGAGGTTCTTTTGTTGTTGTTGTTAATTTCTTTTTAGTTGTAGGTGGACACAATATCTTTGTTTTATTTATTTATTTTATGTGGTGCTGAGGATCAAACCCAGTGCCTCATGCATGAGAGGCAAGCGCTCAACCACTAAGCTACAACCCCAGCCCCACAAAGAGGTTCTTCATCTTGTCTGAAATCCAGATCCCCAATGTATATAGTTGATAGAGTCAAGCAGTTTAATAACACAAAAGGACAAATCAATCTCTCTCTTTCTCTCTTTCTCTCTCTTACCCTACCCCTTTGGTATAGGAGATTGAACCCAGGGGCACTCTACTACTGAGCTACATCTCCATTTTTTTTATGATTTTTATTTTAAGATGGGTCTCACTAAGTTGCCCAGGCTGACCTCAAATTTGTAATCCTCTTGCCTCAGCCTCACAAGTTGCTGGGGTTACAGGGATAGCCTGCCACACCTGGCTGAGAGAACAAATCTTAATTTCAATCCCATTAGAAGTTTTTCTTTATTCTTTTCATATAGTATGCAAAGTGCATTGCCCTTTGCCTGGCAATTCTGCTGCCTATACTCTCCAACCTACACTGCATTATTGAATACTGCCAGAATGGATTATCTCCTCTGAAGAGAGTAGGATTGGTGAGTTGAGGAGGCAGCATGCTCAGCTCAGCCCCTTCCTGTCCTTCCTCAGCTCAATCCATCAGGAGACATTGGGTATTCTGTTCCATTCCTTGCTGGAGGCAAAGGACCTCTAAGAAGTGAAGGTTTATGCCTCTCAAACTGAGTCATGACTTGAGGTAGTTCAAGACTACCTAAACCTTGGATAAACAGCCTTAAATCAAAATCACATATTGATAGACTTTAATCAATAATAAAGATAAGTAATAGATCTTAATTTGTATGATTCCTGGTTCTAATTGGTTTCAAACTTGAGAGAGGAAAATCCCAATGAGCAGGTCTAAAAATGTAAAACTTGGGATGACTGCTCATGGAGATTTGTTTTGGAATGATTAAAATGTTTTGGAAACAGTGGTGATAGCTGTACAGGTTTGTAAACATATTAAAACATACTGAATAATAATTATTATTATGCCTCCCTTGTTAGAGTTCACCTTTAAGGGACCAAGAATAGAAATAATGAAACCAGCTTCTTGCTATTGTTTCACAGGGTACTGAAGAGCTGCATGAGATAATGAGGTAAATAAAAACATAGGACTTGAGATATAGCAAGTACTCAGTAAATGTTGATCACTTTAACAACAAAAATGAAGAAGAGCATTACTTCATCATTTACATTTTTAATAGGTGTTTTGTACTTTTTTATCTTCATAATAATAACAAAAAAATCATTTTTTTGTGGGAGTTGATTTGCTTTATTTGGCTTATCATACTACTTTTTAAAAAATTAAGGCTTTCACATTCTGCCCTGTTGGTAAGCCTTTGCAATGAAAGGAGTAGGTCAAGGATATTTTGTATTTCAGAACTAGAATGGGGTTGAGGAAGAGTGCAGAAGGAGATGGGAATGTTGGTATATTGTTTAGGGAACTTAACTGTCTTCTAAGATTAAATCTAACTTCAAAACTAAATGATTCTTGAAAGAAAGAAAAGCAAGAGAACCCCTGAACTCAAAGTTTACCGTTGTTAATTTTTTAAACCAGACCCATTCATTTAATTGTACATAGCTAGAATATCTAGCATCAATAATAGCCAGCTGAGGTTCATTGAGTTCCCTCTGAATGTAAAAGCAGACATTCATTTGTGCTCCTGAGAAAAATTACAGACATATCCAGTCACAAGAAAATGATATTAATTGGGTAGATTTAATCAGTGAAAAATGGGAGAAAATGATATTAATTGGGTAGATTTAATCAGGGAAAAAAGGGAGTTTAACTAGCAAGCAATACCAAAAACTCATGGAAAGGATTAAGGAGAATTTATTAAAAGGGGGAAGAGGCAAGTTTAAAGACACTGAGTTGAGTGAAAAAGCAGTCTTGGAGGAAAAGTAAGGTTACAAATAACAATAGGCAATCACAGTCACAAACCTAAAGACAAAACAAACTTACATTCAGCCTATAGAGACCTTCTGGTCACAGTCTTGATTTAGTTTCTGATAAGAACTCATGAATACCAGTATAATCTGAATCATCTATAAACATCAATCAATAATTAATATCTAGGTATACATGTTTAGCTATAGATACTTACATATTTTTAAAAATTAATTTTGAAGGCTATATCTTTCAATGAAGAAAGTTTAGCCTAAAGATTCTCATTTTTTATATATGTGGGAAATATCAATGTCTCATTAGAGATATTTTCATATATATAAGTTTTCCATAAGAATTAATGAAGCCTCAAAAATATATCTTCATATCATCACTGAACATTTCTTAGTGACATCTCTGAAGACATTTAAAGTTTTTCCAATTTCAGCCAATACAAAAATTTTATAGTATTTGGCCTAAGTTAATTATTTCATTCTTTTTTTAGTAACAGGCAATTTCATATTTATTTACCTTATTATTTTAAGTTAACCACAATTATTATTTTAAAGGAAATTATTTTAACTAATATGTTTTAATTTTTATATTTTAAAAATATGAAGTGCTTTGTTAATATTTTGCTTTGAAAAAAATATTTTTATAGCTTATTATTCATATTAGCACTCTAAATATTATCTTTTAAAGTCACTATGTTGAATAGTGTTTTTAGAATGTATAACCATATTAAACAGTATCAATTTTATCATTTCAAAAAGGTTTATCACTTAATTTGATCATTATAAACTTCAATATAACTGAGAATAATAGGAGTAGAAAGTTTAATTTTAATCAAAATATCATTAATTCATCATTGAAGCATAGTAGTAAATCATGGAGAAAATATAAAGAAACTATCTTCAAAGCTGATATCTTCTGTGATGTTTAAATGAACATTTTTGCTCTAAATTCGGGCACTGACTATTGTATTAGTGGCCTAATACTAGAAACAGTATTATATACATTATACACACATATGCATATGAAAGCTATACATTGTATTTAAATTATGCAAAATTAGAACCAATTTTCTGAGTTCAAGGACAAAAAGAGGGAATAATTCAAATAGAAACAAGGACACTTTAACACATCACATCACCATGAGATGACTTTTATATTTAAACTGAAGTTTCATGTTTACCATTATCATCTGTACACTTACCTGGTATGCTGCCCGCTTGACTGACAAAAATCCTTCAAAGTACATGGGTAGAGCAGTAATCTTTAATCTTTCCTGGAAGATCCTGCGAGGGGCTGGTTTCGGGGGCTTCTTAGCCATCATACCCTCTGTGGTGTGTGGTTTGGTTTCAACTGTATCCAGTCTCAAACAAAATGAAATCTCCCTTGCGTGAGAGGAAAAGGCAACTCTTCAGAGAGGAAGTCCTCACTTGCTTTTTTAACTGCAAAATACTACCACCAACAGGAGACACACAATTCCCCACCCACCCCACCCCCCACATTTTCCCTTTACATTTTGTGAAGTAAGAAAGAATAGTCATAGATCAAATTTTAGAGGGCAGTCTCTGAGTAAACAACATGTACTTAGATTTATAACAGGAAAATAAACAGAAGATTAACATCACCTGAGGATGAAAGAAATAGGCATAGAGATCATGGGCTTTAGGGGAGACATCAAGGACATATTTGTATTTTCCACATTTTTCATCGTGGTTGTTTATTTTCAAAAGACATAGCATAAATAAACTCTACTTCATTAAAAATTACTCCATAGGATAATAATATTAGTGCTGATTCCATTGGTTAAATATTTCAGGGCCAAACATTGCTTAAATTTAAAAATAATACAACATGATTTTCCTTACACCATGCCCATTCTTCAGGTTCACTAAAATCCTTATATTATGGGAACACAGAAATTTTCACATTTGTATCCCTAGGTATTTTGAGTATGTGGATTACCAGTATTTGGGAGGAAAAGCCAGTACAGAGAGCTGTAAATTTCCAAACTTACAATTATTTTATGCTTTCTGAGCTGTGAATCACTAATACTATGATATTTAATAAGATTCAAAGAGCTACACTGGGGCAAATAAGAATTCAATAGTTTCATGTGAAAAATGGTCCTGGAGATGTACTATTTGGCCCAGCACAGCACAGGGAAAAATGGGAGAAGGGAATGTTAGAAGGAATTTTGATTTGTCTTACAGAGGTTCTGACAATTTCTACCTTTGTCTATTTAATCCTCAGCATTTCAGAACTACTCTAAATTTAGGACGGCATGGGCCCAGTTTAACCAGCTTATTCCCTGAGATTAGAGCAATCCTGAAATCTTCAGTGGGAATGAATCCTCCTTTGCTAATGGAAAGACTATATATTTTTTCCCCACTTCTATGGGTTCCACTGAATTGGCAGCTTTAGATATGGGGAATCCAAATTGTCTGTAAATTGAGTTGGGACCATACATACTGATTATCAGTAAATCAGAGAAGAGTATTCAGACGCATTATCAAAATAAAAGAAATTTGAAAAATATGCTGGAAATTGAAGAGTCACAATTACTGCCCTGTTTTAATAATATGTCTAGACCTGCTTTCTTGTTACCTAAAACTTCAAATAATAAAATAGTAAGTAAATTGGATTTCATAAGGACAAAATTATAACTACTTTTTAGTTTTAGTATATGAAGAAAATGAGTTGAATGACACATAAAACCTGATTTGATAAGTGATCAAATTCTCCCCATATTACATCAGCTGGTAGCTACCAGCTGATGTAATATTGGGAAGAAGTAAAAAGAGGCATGAGAAGTGAGAGATGAAGAGATAAAAGCAGAAGAAGATAGAATGCTAGATATCATCAGTGATTGGACTATGAGAAAAGTAATCATTGGCTTTATGGCTGTGAAATTTTAAAATATTTTTTAGTTGTTGATGGACCTTTATTTTATATATTTTTATGTGGTGCTGTGAATCAAACACAGTGCCTCACACATGCTAGGCAAGTGCTCTACCACTGAGCCCCAGCCCCAGCCCATGGCTGTGAAATTTTATGGGAAAGAATAAAGAATGCCTCCAGAAAACTGTAAGGACAAAATAACTTTTGTAAAATAAGAATCTGGTTAATTATGTTTTTCTTATTTTATAAGAAATGAGCCATTTTTTTAAAAAAAAAAGACTCTAAGTTGCTTGGTCTGCTGATTTATAAGCAAAATTATTCCTGAATGCATCAAGAATAAAATTATCTTCCCTGTCAAATCAAACTACAAAATGCAGAAATGTTTAAACATTATTAGCCAGTTAGACCTGTCTGCAATTTCTAACATCATTGTACTCCTGCACCATTACAATGGCAATTCTCTTATAGAATCTCAAAAACAGTCTCCTAGTTTCCACTATTTTTCTTCTCTGATTCATTTAAAATGCAACCCAATCAAGATACTCTCCTGTTTACAACACTTTAATGGATTCTTAATGCTTTTGAGATTCCTGCTTTCATTTCTTCATTGAATACTAAATATTTAGGAAGTACTAACAAAAATGGCACACAAGGTCTTTAGTAATCCCATCTTTTAAAATCAAAATGCCTTTGGCTCTGGTAATTTTTCTTACTCCCAGTTGCCTCAATACCCTATGGTCTTTCCTACCATTCCATATCTTTCACTTACTGGGCTCCATGCTTGCATGTTCTTCTTTCCAACTTGTTTGTATGATATGATTCATCCTTCAGGATCCAGATTGACTTTGCCCTTGACTGTGAATATTTCCTGATTTGCTGAAACTTTCTCAATCCATAAGGAAAATGTTACTACTCTCAATTCTGCATTCCCATAGCACTTTGCACACATTTTTTTTTTATCACAGTATTTGTCCTTTGTGTATCATTTATTGGTATATGTTTTGTACTACCAGGAAACTGAGTTTTCCAAATGAACAGAATGTGTTGAAGCAGACGTTGATGAAAAGTAGGTTGCAATATTATTTAATGAATAGCTCCCAGCTCAAAAATAGGATTCAATTTAAACAGTTGTGACAGGAGTTTCCTTTTTCCTGATATGTGTGACTGTTGGTTGGCACAGGATTCTTTCATTGCCATGTAGAAGAATCATATTACTATCAAACCATTGGAAATACATAGGACCTCAATTATTACAGTCATCAGGAACACCTATGTCACAGGAGTTTGCTTTAAGTCAGGTTATATAGGAAATATATATAGGATGGTGTATAAGATTAACTCATAAAACCAAAATCTCAGTGCTTTTTTGAGTCATCTGTTTTCAATACCATTCAAGTCAATGAATACAAATGTTTATAATAGTTAAGGATCTCCCAATTACTTTACTATCAACTTTAACTGATTCAATCAACAATGAATAGGACCACCAATCCTTCTCTAGTATGTCACAATTTCTGACCCTTATTTTACTATTTATTGATGATTTATTGCCATATTAATTCCAGTTCACTATAATAGATTTCAGTTGAATTGAATTAAATACATTTATGTTTATTACCCATAAATGAAGAATACAGCTTTTATTTTAACTATTCTGTGGCATAATTGTAATTTAGAATCAAATAGTTGATGCAAAATTTAACTTATATAGCACATTGCAATTAAAGTACTTATTCAGACCTTAACAATTCATTACATAGAAAAACTGTGTTTTTGTGAAAATTGCTGCCACCTACCTACACATTGCAAGCATACAGTATTAACTTGGTGATTATGATCCAGGACAGCATTTCTTTCTGAAGGTCGTTTTGTCAGAAAAGGCTACTTAATGTAAATCTCCTCCATAGTGGAACAAATATTTGGCAATAAAGAGTAAGAAAAAATTAAATATTTATGTAAGAAAATAAAAACAGGTCAAGTATGGTGGTGCACACTTGTGATCCCAGTTACTGAGGAGGCTGAAACAGAAGGATCAAGTGTGAGTACAGCTTCAGCAACTTAGTGAGATGTTTGTCTCAAAATAAAAATGAAAAAGGAGTTCAGTTGTAAAATACCCCTGAGTTCAATCCCCAGGATCCCCCCCAAAAAAGCTTATTTCATCTTAACACATATTAATTCATAATTGGAATTATGCTATAAATTTTAGAATAAATTCATTTTGGTGTAAATTTTTTAAAAAAATAATTTTATGATACTAACTTTCTAATTTTACTTTTGACATTGATATTTCTAAAAAAAATCATAATGTCTGTTCTCTTTTACTTAATATAATGTTTCTGAGATTTATTCATATGCTTGTATTTATCACTAGTTTGTCTTTATGGCTGAGAAGTATTCCACTGTATCAAAATAATACAATTTATCCATTCACAAAAACAGATGATTGTGCTCAACTGTAGTAGGACTGAATAGGACTAATTTTTTTAAGCAGTCAGGTCACTTGTGAATATATTTGTGCTCTGATTTTTATTTCTTTATGGAGTCTTGTTATTAAAAAAAACTTTGATATTAAATACCCATAACTATTCAATGGAAAATAAAGGTCTAGAATAAAATGCTCTTTGAAAATGCTTTACCTTTTATATTTTTAAATTAATTAAATTATAGGTAACTACAAGCTTTTACTTCATTTTCAAACTAAATTTTTGGATCCCTTATTTTCCTTATATACTCATTTAATATACACATGTACTTTCATAGACTGATTATATATATATATTTTTTTTTGAGAGAGAGGGGTGAAAGAGAGAGAGAGAGAGAGAGAGAGAATTTTTAAATATTTATTTTTCAGTTTTCAGCTGACACAACATCTTTGTTCGTATGTGGTTCTGAGGATCGAACCCGGGCCGCACGCATGCCAGGCCAGCAAGATACCGCTTGAGCCACATCCCCAGCCCCATAGACTGATATATTAACACACATAACTTTTGCATGCACACACACCTTTTACCAAGAAGTAGTGATAGAAAACTTAAAGATTTAATCAGTAGTTATAGTAGTTCTTAAGGAATGATCTTGATGTATTTTCAAAGAGATTTATAATAACAAATCTGTTTTTTAAAAAATAAATATCACTTCACCAACAATCAACAACCAGATTTTAGGATATTAAAACCATGCTGTGGCTATTAAGTACTGTACTTGGATGGATATTAATGGAACTTGAAACTGAAAAGTTTGTGTGGAAACTGTGGTTTCCGTAACTATTTTCATAAGATTATGTTTCCATTTCTCTCTAGATTAGTCCATCTCTACCATGTTCTGTGCCTATTTTACATCAGAACAAGCCTTTGCATTTCAGTTTTCTCAAAATCATTGTGGGAGTACCTGTTTCCAGTGGAAGCAGGAGGGTATAATTTTACATGTGTATTTTATATCTGTTATTGTGTTTGCTAAAATTCTCACTGGAAGCCAAGAGTGTAATGATTAAGAGCTCAGTTCTGGAGTCAGAATTCTTGGGTTAATATCCAGTTTAGCTATTTATTGGTGGTATGATTTGGGGCATACTCTGTGTCCCAGTGCCCTTTGTCTATAAAATAGGGAAATAATTGTCCTCTCATAGAGATGTTCCAAATGCTTCAAATGCATGTGATGCATTTATAGAGATTGGCATATGGTATGCATTTTTATTATTATGTATTACCAATGTGATAATACCAAATTGTATATAATATAGATTGATTGGGAAAACTTTTAAACATAGTAAAATAAGAAACTTCCATAACCATACCAATTTCTTTCTTATTAAATTCTTGCTGTCTTCCAAGAGAGTAAGAATTTTTTTTCTTTAGCTTTTTTCCTTCAAAATACACTCAATATCAGTATCAGTTCCTGTTAAGATCTAAGCACAATGCTTAGATCTTAACAGGAACTGTTTAACCCTACAGCCTCAACAACGTTATAATAATTTCCATTTTACATGCAAGGAAATTGAGCAACAGATGATTTAATTGGATTGCTCATAAAGGCTTAAGTAATAGTGCAAAACAGGTCTGTCTGATTTCAGAGTTTATAACCTCTTTCTTCTCAACCACTAAATAAAAAAATGAGTAAAATAAAAACTTAGTTTTAATGGGTGACAGCATTTGTTACAGCATTACAATTTTTAAAAATTATTAGCTCAATTTATGATTAGTGAGTTTATTCAATAAGTTAATCTACTTTCTGATTAAAATTTTCTTGTAATTTTTAACTAAATCATAAAAATCAGACAGGATTTCATAGTCCTATTCAAGTAAGGTGGGAAGAAGTCTTCAGAGTATCTAATTTATATTTCCATTGTATCACTAAGGAAACATCCAGAATGAAGACAAAATATTGCTCTAGATGAATTAGCTACACAATGGTTAGGCCAACTTCAGATCTTCTGGTATAGATTTTTTCCTTCAAAATACACTAAATATCAAGTAATTTATCTAGAACCAGAATTAAAATAATATTTAGCAGCTGTGAGATGTATGTTTATTTTGATACTTCTAATTAGGGTACAACTAATTCAGGACAAAGAACCAGCTTGATTTTATATTATTTCTTTAAGACTGATTTTTTTTTTTAAGAGAGAGACAGAGACATAGAGAGAGAGAAAAGAGAAGAGAGAAGATGAGAGAGAGAACGAGAATTTTTAAATACTTATTTTTCAGTTTTCGGTGGACACAACATCTTTATTCTTATGTGGTGCTGAGGATGGAACCCAGCGCCCCGCGCATGCCAGGCGCGTTACCGCTTGAGCCACATCCCCAGCCCAAGACTGATTTTTTAAATAGTATCAAATTTGGGATCCTCAAATTTGACGTTAAGGAACATATTCATGTTTGCTTTATCACAGATTTTTTAAGCTTAAAAAGCTCTCTCCAGCACTTGCTGATACTCTGCGTAGTATCAGCAGGTCCTCCAGATGCCTGTCCCTTAGATTTGTATTTCCTAATACTGTCCAGAAGAGTTTCCGTAGAAGGTCAAGTTCCTTATTAAATGCCTCCGCAGTAACATCCATTTTCCTCTGCAAAAGGATTCAGAGCGGAGACCGTGAGAGAGAGAGCAGCGTTAGCGCAGTCCGCTCCCGACATCATATTGAAGTGATATATATTTACAAGGATTATTTATTGTTGGTAATGCTTCATAAAAAATAATATCTACATACTTGAAAAAAGAATACAAGCCCTCCCTGTCATCACCATTATTATTTTCAGAGATGACGAATCAGCAAAACGTGTTCTGCAATTTCAACTTCTTGTCCAAGTATTATTTGTTGTTCCATAGTAGAATTTTGTTGAGAAGTTTTGCAGCGGGCTCAAGGAGCAAATACGGTCTCAAGTCTGTGACTTCCGGAAAAAAACAGCCCAGCCTCGGGGCAGTAAACTGCGAGGGGCTGATGGGGGGAGGAACGCAAGAACAGACTGTACGCAGGCGGAACTAGGAACTAAGAACTCGGCTGCGGAAAAAGGGACAGTGCTAGCGCCGTGAGGGGGCGGGTCCAATAACGGCTTGTTTTCTATTGGGTGGTGCGGCCCGTTTTGCGCATGTGCGGGCCGTTTCAAACCCCGCAGCGCGCGGGTCTTCTTGTTTTTTGAGGGCGGAACCAATTGGGCAGGGAGTGACGGAAGCGCGTGCACCCGGGAATTCAGGGGTGTTCCTGGGCCTGGGTCTAACCGCCTGTCAGGTGTTTGGGTATGTGCTTTGCCTTCTCCGGTAGTAGCCCCGGTGGACTTCCTCCTCAGATTCCCTGCGTGGGCGGAGCCAGGGCCGGAACATGGCGAAGTCGGGTCTGGTAAGTTCGGGCCCTGGGCCCAGGTCCCTGCCCGAGAGCAGAAAAGCGGCCGCCCTTAGTTTGGGCGGCCTAGCTGGGGAGAAGGAGACGTTGGGCCGAGTACACTGTGGCTTCTCCAGGATTTCCGTAGAAAACCATAATTTCCTTATATTATTTTCTCAAAGTTTCATGTAATTGCGTTTTTTCTCTAACTGCGTTTTCTGTCTATAAAACTTGTGATTTTTACCTGTTAGCTTAGTTGTATTTCCTAGACCTCCAAATGCGACCTACCTATATTAGACGTATACCTTTGTTTCAGTTTTGCTGGTCTGGGGAAAGAGATTATTGATTATGTAATCTGTCTGGAAAAAAAATCCGACGTACTCTTGTCAAAATGATGAGACTTGTATGCAGTTGAGGCTAATATTTATGGGTGCATTTCTTATTGAGAAAATCTTATAAAAAGCAGCTATTAGTTAAAAGGTGCAACTTTGAATGACTAATGAGGACAAAGAACACTTTGTTTCCATGTTTCCAAGTACCCTCAATATTCAATAGTCTGTATTTTAGACTTTGCTATGATATTCTAAAACTCATCATTTCTTATCCTAAGTTTGTATTTTCTCATTCATTTCTTTTAAGAAAGTATTCAACATGATGATCCCCCATTATGTAAAGTTGTGTATGCTTAGAGATATATGAAAAGATAGCATAGTTTGTGCTTCCTACGAAGAGCATGTACATTGTTTACGTTATACATAATCAGAAAAAAAGCCATTCTTGGGGAAGATGAGACTAGAACTTGCCAAATCACTACAGTTCTCTTTTTAAAAAATATTTTTAGTTGTAGATGAACACTTAATTTATTTATTTTTATGTGGTGCTGAGAATGGAACCCATGCCTCACATGTGCTAGACAAGTGCTCTACCACTGAGCTACAACCTCAATCTCTACAGTTCATTTTTCAAATGCCTGTCATAAACTTAGAACTCTTTTTGAACCTTTTAGTTCTAACATTTGACTGCTATAATCCATTTAAAAGACAAGGGGAAAGAGAAATTGGGAGGTTCTGCTCAGCCATTCCTGTGGTTCTCAAGGCAGGGGTGGGGGCAGAGGGTGAATTGCTCTGTGGAATGTATTTGGTAATGATCTGGAGAAATTTTTGTTTTTTCCTAGGTAGGGGTGATGTGGAGGATGAGGGAGTGCTACAGGTCACCTAGTGGGCAGAAGAGGAGGGTGCTGTTAAGCATTCTTAATGAATGGCACAGGCCCCCACAACAAGGAATTATCCCCAAAATATCAGTAGTTGGGGTTGACGGATCCCAAATATTGATATACAATATTATATTTTTTGAGAAACATAATTTCACTTTGAATGAAAAAACCCACATTGAAATCAGTTGAAGAATAAGTTGAAAGTGACAGTGTATATTTATTTTGAAAATTAGAAATTTTTATGTTCCGACTTGTAGAATTTAGGAACCTTATTTGCCTTGTTCATCACTGGCTTTCTTTCTTTCTTTCTTTCTTTCTTTCTTTCTTTCTTTTTTTTTTTCATTACTGGCTTTCTAGTGTGCTTAAATAGCACTTGGCATTCTGATAGATTAGTATTTGTTGGACAAACGAATTTCCTGGAATCTTGGCCTTAAAATTTTCCTACTTAAAAGAAGAACAGGTAGTACTTTACAGGTTTTAAGTTTTAGGGTGCAGATTGGGAAAGCCTTCAATTTATTAAGTGAAATAGAAAAGTGGCTATAAATTAGGCTTTGGAAGTTTGTGTAATATTCTCAGAGTTGAATTTTTACTTTATTGTTTCACAGTGTTGAGTACTAGAAAGAGACATAGGTGCTTGAATTAAAAGTTCCCATCTTTGTTTTACTCTAATCATAGTGGTAAAGATCAAAAATACAAACAATAATAAATGTTGGTGAGGTTGTGGGGAGAAAGGAACACTTTTACATTGCTGGTGGAACGAACCGTAAACTAGTACAACCACTCTGGAAAGCAGTTTGGAGATTGCTCAGAAAACTAGGGATAGTACCTCTACGTGACCTAGCTATCCCACTCCTGGGTATTTTCCTCAAAGATCTAAAATTGGCCTACTACAGTGACACAGCCACATCAATATTTATAGCAATATAATTCACAATAGCTAAATTATGGAATCAACCCAGATACCTGTCAGTAGATGAATGGATTAAGAAATTATGTTCATGTTCTATTCAGCCATTAAAAAGAATTAAATTATGGCATTTGCTGGTAAATAGATGGAAATGGAGACTATTGTGCTAAGTGAAATTAGCCAAACTAAGAAACTCAAAGGTCAAATGTTTTCTCTCATATAATAAAGCTATAGTAAAATAAAGGAAAGGGAGAGGGAAAACTAGGAAAACATAAAGAACCAATCAAATAAATTAATAGATGAGTGAAAGGAAGTCTAGTAGAGTAGAGGAAGAAGATGGGGAGGTTGGGAGGATTGGAGGGAAAAGGGGGGATCGTGAACTGAAATTGATTTCCATGCATGTATGAGTTTATTGGGATGAACCCAACTACTATGTGTAACCATTAAGCTAAAAAAAAAAAGTCTCTATCTTTGAATAATAGCAAAACTATTGTTTTTTGTTTTTTTTCGAGAGAGAATTTCAACATTTATTTTTTAGTTATCAGCGGACACAACATCTTTGCTTGTATGCGGTGCTGAGGATCGAACCTGGGCCGCACGCATGCCAGGCAAGCGCGCTGCCGCTTGAGCCACATCCCCAGCCCTAGCAAAACTATTGTAATAACAGGACAGAGGGTATATATAGCACAGTAGTAGAGACTTGGTCTAGCCTGCACAGGATGCTGGGTTTGATCCCCAGCACTCAAAAACCAAACAACAACAACAACAAAAAGACTTGTAGGGCTGGGGTTGTGGCTCAGCAGTAGAGCGCTCTTCTTGCATGTGCAAGGCCCTGGGTTCAATCCTCAGCAACACATAAAATTAAATAAAATAAAAGTATATATATAAAAAAAAGACTTGTAATATAACAGAGACCTGATAGATATTTCTGTCTCTTAGTTTGTCATCTGTAAAATACATTCCATCTTTTATTTCTTAGGTACTTCATGAATATGATAAACTCTCACCTTCATTAAAGAAAGACTTTTAAAATAAATTTTCCTATTGACATCTTTTTTTCTAATTTTTTAAAATTGTGGATGAATCTTTATTTTATTTATATATCTTTTTTGATATTAATATGGCCTACAGACTAGGCAAAGGTCTGGGAAGAATATAAATCAGCTCAAGACAAAGTTCTTAAGTTTCTTAAAATCTAATAGAGGCTTTTGTTTTTCTATTTCTATTTTTCTTCCTTTCCTAAATAATTCAATTCTAAAACCATTAAGTGGGACCAAGCAAGACAAGTATCCCTGTGGTTGGCTCAGAGCAGGTATATAGGACCCTAAGCAGGGTTGAGAGGTTAGCCTCTTCAGGATACCAGTGTGTGAGTCAGGTGAATATTGCGTCCATGTGAGTAGAGGGCTGCTTGTGTGGGGGCATATGAGTTCAAGCACAAATAGGAGATATGCACATAGGAGGATTCCTGGAAAGGTGTTGGGACCCCAAGTGGGGTGAAGGGATCATTCCTATGGATAGACGTTTTAGTGTGGAGTAGGGAAGGCATGTATGCAGAAGGGGAAATGTTAGCCTAACATGGTAAGTGAGCCTAAGTGGTATTACAAGGACATCTTCACAGGACAGTGCCTTGCCTAAGGTGTCAGAGCCTGAGCTGAGTAAAGAGGGAATATGTATGACAGAGGTGATTGAGTCCCAGGGGGAGAGCTTCTGTAACTGAGAGGAACATGGGAAGTTTGAGGCCTAGCAGTGTACGGAAGTGCCATGATGGGGTTAGTACTTATCTCCAAGTTGATAGGCTTGGAGAATGCTCAAATAAGTGAGGGAGTATATGTGTATTTTTCATTATTAAGAATTTTTCTTACTCTTTGTTCAGTGTTTATAGTATGCTACTTTGGTTTTATGAATCTAGCATTTCAGATATCTCTTGAAGATATTAGAACTTTCTTATTTTTGAGGTTTTCTTTTTTCCCATCATTGATATTAGTTTTTTTTATTTTTTTAAAAATTATATCTTCATTTTTATTTCAGGGACTTAATGTGTGGTAATCCATATTGTTAATTATATTTGAGACTGAGACAAACGAATACTATTTGGGATAGGAGAAGCTTGAGTCTACTGTTCTGTATAAAGGTTTTCCTTTAATTGTACTGCTTTTATTCTCTTTTCTTGATCCTTGCCTCCTTTAGTTCTTAATTTCCTAGTTACACACTTTTTAATGGCTTTTTCCTAGCCAAATCAGCATCCCTTCTCATTGACGACAGTATCCTACGAGCTTACTTTAGGCTGCTATTGCTTTCATTTCTGTTTCATCATTCATTACTCTTCATGTATTTTTTTATCTTCCAGTAATTTGTTAAGTTTGTTTATGTAAATGGTGTTATCTTTCATGATCCTTTTTCATAGTTGTTTTATGTCATGTTAGTTCTTTATTATTCTTTTAGTGGGAATCTTCCTGTGGGGAAGGGTTATAGTAGATATTGGTAGTCAACCAACTTGAATTACTAGAAGCCCAGATAGTTAGGTTTTTGATAATGGAAAAGGTATGAGTGGAGGTGAAGGAAGAAGAGGAATAAAATAAATTATACCTGGTTAGGGGTGAGGAGATAACATCAAAAATGTTTGGAAATAGTAGGTATGAGGTATATTTCTCTTCTACTCGATCCATTCTCTCTCATTGTAACATTATGATAGGTGATTAAAAATACTTAATAAATAAAGAAATGGACATTTTTGGCATGCCATTATTGGAATGAAATTAGTTTGAAAGTAAGTTGTATTTGATTACATTAGAAGTAAAAGTAGTAAATTGCCAATTAACTTTTCTTTCAGGATCATCTCAAAAATGGCTACAGAAGAAGATTTTGCCGACCTTTCAGGTAATTTATGGTAATTTATATATATTTAACCTTGTAAGACTTATGTTCTGATACTGACTCTGCATTATTATCTTTGGCACATCATCTTTGATTTGGTCTTTAGAAAGTGGATTTTTAAATGAAGAAAGGAAAAACTGTTACTTTCTAATATATATTATGATTTGTGAGTACGTGTACATATATTGTGATTTGTCAATAGCAGACAGACCTGATTTAAAAAAGTAAATATGTTAGGTAGAAGTTAAAAAAACTAGATCTTATGAATCAGAGCCAGAAGACTGATATGTTAGGCATTAGGTATCTTTTATATACTTGAATAATCTGTTCTAAAATCCCTGGAATAGGCCAACCAGATGTAAATACACACAAACCCATGTAGATGCACACTTATAAGATGGTATTTGTAGAATAGCTTAATGCAGGGGTTATAGTAATCAAGGTTTGGTGGAGTGGTTTTATATTAAGGTATTAATGAGAATGGGGAAGAAGAGATGAATTGGAGAAAATTTTTCAAAAATTTCAGTACTTAGTAGGTATGAATTATTTTTTGTCTTATAAAAATTCAGACTTTATTCAGTTTGCTAGCTGCCAGATTATATCCATACTATGTCATTTAGATTTCTTGTTTGACAGTCTGGTTGATAGTGACTTATGTTCTAATACTGATTCTGCATTATCTATCTTTGGCAATTATGTTTCATAAACATCTGATTCACCCTAAAAAAGATGATCTAACTAGTCTCAGGGAAATGACTGATTTTGTGTTTTTCTGCAAAGTTCTAAAGGAAAGTTTATGCATATATTGGGATGATAATTATTGCTGTAGGTATTTCTGAGATCTTTCATTAATAAAATTCTGTGATGCATTTTTAGTCAGCTTTTTTTGTGACTATGACCCCAAAACCCAACAAGAACAATTAGAAAAGGAAAAGTTAATTTTGGCTCAGTTTCAGAGGTCTCATTCGATGATAGATGACTGACTCCATAGCTGTGGGCTTGATGTGAGGCAGAACATAATGTCAGAGGGGTATGGTGGAGGAAAGTGGCTAAGGACAAGGCCACCAGGAAGCAGAAAGAGAACCACTTACCAGGACAAAATATAAACCCCAAAGGCATTCCCTCAGTGATCTATTTCCTCCAGCCACACTTGACCTGTCTCTAGTTATGGCCCAGTTAATCCCTGTCAGTGGATTCATACACTGACTTGGTTAAGTTCTTATAACCCAATCAATTCACCTCTTAGACTTTCTTGTGTTGTCCCACACATGAGCTTTTAGGGAACACCTCATATCTAAGTAATAACAATGGATGACCTATTAATGTATTGTTGATCACAGTCTTGAGTTACTTTATAACATAATACTTTTCTAATTCAAGAATAAAAGGAATGTAAATGAGGAATTAATAAACTACAGCCCATAGACTGGCTAATTGTTTTGTCACAGATTTTGGTTCAAATTTATTGGAACAGAGCTAGAATGGCACAGTTGAGTAATTATGACAGACTATACGGTTTATAAGTTAAAATATTGACCAATTAGTCTCTTGAGCCAAAGTGTGCCCTTGTCAGAGGTGCATATCAGAATTTTGTACTGATTGAAATCTATGTGTCTTTCAGCAGGTAGATGATTAAAGACTGTGGTACACCGCAGCATAGGATACTGTTTAGCACTGAATAGGAATGAACTGTTGATACATAGTACTTGTGGAAACACATATAATATGTTTTTATATGAATCTCCAGAGAATTATGCTAAGTGAAAAATTTCAATGCATGCTTTTTGATTATTTATATACCTTTTTTTTTCTTATTAATGACAGAACTTTAGAAATGGGGGCCAGATTAGTGCTTGCCAGGAGTTAGGAATGTGAGGTTAGAGAGAGGTGGACATATTTATAAAAGGCAATAGGGAGATCTTTATGGTGATCTAACAGTTCAGTATTTAGACTCTGATTGTGATATTAGAACCTACAGATATAGTATGTGGTGTAGAACTAAATACACACCTACAAACAGACTTACAGAAATGAGTACATATAGAACTGGAAATCTGATAGGTAGATTTTTACCAATAACGTCCTGGTTGTGATATTATGCTGTAGTTTTGCAAAGTGATACTGTTGGAGGGAAGTGGATAAAGTGAACAAAGGAGCTCCTTTATTTTGTATAACTGAATGTGAATCTAAAAATCAATGTATTTCTATAATCAGTATACTTGTTACTGAACTGACTGATAAGCTGTTAAATTAATGGTATTGAGTCAAAAGTGTAGTTGAGAATTTGTAGGGAGGTGTAGGTTGCTATTAGGACTTGTGACTGTAAAGTCATCATTAAAGAAGCTGCTCTTAGATAGGCAGAATTAATATTATCAAAATGACCATACTTACAAAAGCACTATACAGATTTAGTGCAATTCTGATCAAAATTCCAATGACATTCCTCATAGAAATAGAAAAGGCAAACATGAAATTCCTCTGGAAAAAGACCGAGAATGGCTAAATGAATCCTTAGCAGGAAGAGTGAAGCAGGTGGCATCACTATACCAGACCTTAAATTATACTACAGAGCAATAGTAACAGAAACAGCATGGTATTGGCACCAAAACAGACTGATAGACCAATGGTACAGAATAGAGTACACAGAGACTAACCCACAAAACTATAATTATCTTATATTAGACAAAGGTGCCAAGAACATGCATTGGAGAGAATATAGCCTCGTCAACAAATGGTGCTGGGAAAACTGGAAATCCATATATAACAAAATAAAATTAAATCCCTATCTCTCACCATGCACAAAACTCAAATACAACCAGAGACCTGTGTATAATAGAAGAAATAGTAGGCCCTAATCTCCCATCATGTGGGATTAGGCCCCAACTTCTTTAATAAGACTCCTATTGCACAAGAATTAAAACCAAGAATCAATAAATGGAATGGACTCAAACTAAAAAGTTTCTTCTCAGCCAAAGAAACAATCTGTGAGGTGAATAGAGAGCCTACATCCTGGGTGCAAATTTTTACCCCTCACACATCAAATAGAGCACTAATCACTAGCAGATATAAAGAACTAAACAAACTAGACACCAAAAAACCAAATAACCCAATCAATATATGGACCAAGGACTTGAAGAGAACTTCTCAGAAGATGAGGTACAATCAATCAATAAACACATGAAAAAATGTTTATCATCACTAGCAATTAGAGAAATGCAAGTTAAAAGTATTCTAAGAGTTTGTCTCACTCCAGTCAGAATGGCAGCTATTATAAAGACAAACAACAGTAAGTGTTGGTGAGGATGTGGGAAAAAAGGTACATTCATACACTGCTGGTGTGAGACTGCAAATTGGTGCAGCCAATATGGAAAGCAGTATGGAGATTTCTTAGACAATTGGTAACAGAACCACCATTTGACCCAGCTATCCCTCTCCCCGGTCTATACCCAAAGGACTTAAAAACAGCATACTACAGGGACACAGCCACATCAAGGTTTATAGCAGCACAATTCACAATAGCTAAATTGTGGAACCAACCTAGATGCCCTTCAGTAGATGAATGGATTAAAAAATGTGGCATATATACACAATGGAAAATTATTCAGCAATAAAAGAGAATAAAATCATGGCATTTGCAGGTAAATGGATGCAGTTGGAGAAGATAATGCTTAGTGAAGTTAGCCAATCCCCAAAAAACAAATGGTGAATGTTTTCTCTCATATAAGGTAACTGATTCATAGTGGGGTAGGGAGAGGGAGCATGGGAAGAATAGAGGAACTCTATATAGGGCAGAGGGGTGGGAGGGAAAAGGAGGGGACATGGGGTAATTAATGATGATTGAATGTGATGATCATTATTATCCAAAGTACATGTATGAGGACATGATTTGGTATGAATATACTATGTATATAACTCGAAATATGAAAAATTGAGCTCTATATATGTAATAACACTTGTAATGCATTCTGCTGTTATATATAAATTTTTAAAAAGTTAAAACAAATAAAAGCATTTCAGGGCTGGGGATAATAATAGTTCAGTGGTAGATCTCTTGACTTGAATGTGCAAGGCCTTGAGTTTATTCCCTATCATCACATTTAAAAGAAGAAAAAGCATTTCAGGATTAATGGGATTCATTCAAAAAACTTTGTTCTTATTGAAATACAGCTATAGTCTAAAACAATTTTTAACAATTAATATTTAACAGGAATAAAATTGTTTATGTAACATGACATACTTTTTTTCATATTATAAAGAGAAGAGTTCACTTGAGGGAACTCTTGAACCCTTAAGTACTTCTTTTTTTCTAAGCTGAATGTGATGGTGCATACCTGTAATTCCAGTGACTCAACAGACTGAGGCAAAAGAATCACAAGTTTGAGGCCAGTCTCATCATCTTATTGAGGCCATCTCATCATCCTGTCTCAAAATTAAAAAAAAAATGGGGATATGGCTTAGTGGTAAAGCACCTCTGATTTCAGTCCCTAGTGCGAGAGTGGGTGAGTGAGGGCATGCATACACACACACACACACACACACACACACACACACACACACGTTTTTCAATTAAATAATTGACATTTCTTGATGATAAGATGGATTTTCAAATAAATGAATAATAAGTATTTTTCAGTAATGATACATTCCCCCCCCCCTTTTTTTTTAGGGTACCCGACATTAATACAGGGCAAGGCAAAAACATGCTGGAAATCTTACAAGACTGTTTTGAAGAAAAAAGTAAGACTTCATTTCTGGATAGACTTTGAGGGTTGGAATGAATGAAAATGTAAATTTGTCATGTTAATTAATATCAAATGCAGCAAGTATATTCTAGTGTTTAAACTTATATAAAATATTTTCCTCAGAATTTTGAGTATATATCCAATGCCCACTTCCTTCAATCACACCCTATCCACTTTCAGTTACCACTCAGTTAATTCCATTAGAGGATTAATTGACTGATTGTGTTAAGGCTCTCATAACCCAATCATTTCTCCTGTGTATCTTGCATTGTCTCACACATGAGCTTATGCGGGACACCTCCCATCTAAACCATAATAATGAGAGATAGATGGTGGATGCTGTGGTTGGATTATGTCCTCCCAAAAGTATGTATTGGAAATTTAATCCCCAGTGCAACAACATCAAGAGATGAGACTTTTGAGAGGTGATCAGACCATGAGGGCTTTGCCTTCTTGAATGGATTAAAACTTGTTACTAAAGGTCTTGAGGCATGAGTTTAATCTCTTGCTCTCTAGTTTGCTCATACTCTCCTGTCTCTTCTGTTTTCTGCCTTGGGATGATATAGCAAGGCCCTTTCCAGATGCAGGCTTCTTAATATTGAACTTCCCAATCTTCAGTGCCATAAGAAATAAATCTCTGTTTTTTGTAAGTAACCTGGTCTCAGGAGTTCTGTTATTACAGTACAAAATAGACTAAGACATTGGAAATGTGACTCCTGTATGAGCTCTGAAAAAAGAACTGGCACATACTTTTTGAGAAATCTTGTTTGCTGTTCTGTTTCTGATGTCTTTCAGAAACATTTGAATTTTAATATCTGTACTACTTTTAGGCTGATTGTGTATAGAATTAACAGACAATTCTTCACATGTCATATAGAGCTACGTTGAATTGTAACCAGTAGATATTACATTTTGTTTTTAAAATTTCTCATTTTTCTTTTAGGTCTTACCAATGATTTTAGCATAAATTCTACAAAATCAGTGCGTTATTCGACACCCAGAGTGAAAGACAATTCTATTCATTCCTCAAGCAAAGAGGTAAGCCAAAAAAGAGAACTGATACAGGTTAATTATTTTAATGAATGAAACTGCACAATTGGGCTGGGAATGTGGCTCAGGCGGTAGTGCGCTCGTCTGGCATGCGTGCGGCCCGGGTTCGATCCTCAGCACCACATACCAACAAAGATGTTGTGTCTGCCAAGAACTAAGAAATAAATATTTAAAAAAAAATTCTCTCTCTCTCTCTCTCTCCTCTCTCACTCTCTCTTTAAAAAAAAAAAAAAAATGAAACTGCACAATGTACTTGTGTACCTTTCAGTTGTTTGTCTTATTTTGAAAAGAGAATGCTATATCCAAAGGATTTAACATCAGAATACTTTAGTGATGCAGCCACATTAATATTTATAGCAGCTCAGTTCACAATAGCTAAGCTCTGGAACCAACCTAGGTGCCCTTCAACAGATGAATGGATAAAAGAAATGTGATATCCATGCACACAATGGAATATTATTTAGCTGTAAAGAAAAATGAAATTATGGCATTTGCCAGTGAATGAATGGAACTGGAGACTTTCATGCTAAATGAAATAAGCCAATCCCCAAAACCAAAGGCAGAATGTTCTCTCTGATATTCAGATGCTAACACACAATGTGGAGGTGGAGGGAAGAATAGAAGTACTTTGGGTTAGACAGAAGGATTGTAGGGAAGGGAACGGGGTTGGGAATAGAAAAGACAGTAGAATGAATCAGACATAACTGTCCTATGTTCATACATGAATACACCACCAGTATAACTCCAAATCACATACAACCACAAGAATGAAAAGTTATATTCCATGTATGTATAATATGTCAAAATATGTTCTACTGTCATAAAAAGAACAAATTAAAGAATAAAAAAAAAAGAGAATCCTGTATTCCTGTTTAAGAAGATAAGTTGATTTAACTATGCAATATATTGTATTTTCTATTGAGATCTTTTTTCACTTTGTTTTTGCAGTTCCTGGGTTCATACCCAGGAGTGTCCTGTGCATGCTAAGCATACACACCACTGAGTTATAGCTTCAGCCCTGGTTATTTTATTTTATTTTTTTAAGTAAAACATGACATGACTCTTATTTTTAGCTTAAACATAACCTTGCTTCATAAATTTAATTATTTCTCTTTTCTGTTTTTTATGAGAATTTGAATAAGCAAAAATGATCTGTACCTTTAAATTTAGATCATTTGTAAAACAATTGGGGCTGTTTTGTTGGAGGTATTGGTGACCAATTTAATTTATTTAATGATTATCTGAAAATTTTCCTGCTTTTTGGCAGTTTGGTTTTTTTTTTTTCTTAAAATGATCTGTTTCCTCTAGTCTCAATTTTTTCTATAGTTAGTGTTCTTTTCAGATCCTTCTCATAAGGATCATACCTCTCTTTTTATTCAACATCTTCATTTGCATCTTATGTTAATTCACTATTCTTCTCTTTTTACATATTTAAAAAAATTTTAGAAGAATAATTTTTATAATCAAAGGTATACATACATAGAAGTTAAAATAGTTCCATAAGGCTTGTATTATGAAAAACAGTGGACCCTACTTTTCCCCCCAAATTCTGCCTTGTTCACAATAGCTAAGCTCTGGGACCAACCTATGACTCTTAGCTATTTCTTATGTCTATTTTGCCTCTGTTTTTAAATAATGCTTTGCCACTATATTGTGGTATTTATAGGCTGGAGATTACTTTCCCTTACATTTTTTTTTAAAGACACTGCTTTATTATTTTTACTTTATTTATTTTATTTTTTAATCTTTTACAACAGTGCTGCTTTTTTCCCCCAGCTTTTCCTATTGTTAAGACTATTGTTTTGATTCCTTGATTCTTTGTGAGTGACTACTTTTTCCTTTTTGTAAGATTTTAGGATCATGTCTTTTTTAGTGATCTAAAATTTTATTACATTAATTTCTTCTTGCAGTTTGTTTCCTATAAGTACTTTTTTGGGCTTGCTTTGCTCTTTGCCTTTTTTTTTTAAAGATCCTTTTGTCAAATGCTAGTGGTCTTTAGCCGTCTCCTTTTATTTAAGAGTAGAAAACTAAAATGGATGAGAAGTTCTATATTCATAGTAAAATTTATAGATTGTTGGATTTGTGGATATCTAGGTATTAGTATCTATAGTTTTTTTCTCTTGGCCTGGTAAATTTTTGTGACAAAAGAAGCTTCTGATTGGGGATGTGATTCTGACGAGGAGTATTCTCAGCTCTGTTGACAAAGGGAAAGGTGCAGTTTTAATGCTCTTTCCTAATATCTCTTGTTTTTAAGGTCATTACCCTTACCTTTAACCATCTTATGCTACTGAGTTCATAGTCTCTGATGCTGAAACTTAAAAGAGTAAATATCTAATCTGATATGGCTAGGAGGGAAGGGGCTCTTTGTGTTATTAATTTTCTGTGCTTGCTTTTAACAATGATGTTTGAGGGAACCACTTGCAATCCCTCTTTTAGAAATGTGTTATACCTTTAATTAGTGTCTTTATGGGCTTTTTTCATAAATACGAGTCTGTCTGCTTCTGGGCTTTCTCCATTGCTAGCATATTTTAGATTTTTCTTGTCTTGAGTAGTTGCCACTAATCTGCTTTTCAACTTCAAAAATTTGTTGTTGATATCTCTTGTCCCTTCTTTTCCTCTTCGTCCCTCTGGGTTTATCCATTTAATAAAAAAAATTATTAGTAAGGTCTCAAGAGGGAGCAGAGTAAATGAAAGCCAGCCTTTGTTTCTTTGTGGAGTTGAGTTCAATATTGTATCTAGTGAACTAGTAATACAGTGATCCCATTGTTATTTATTTCCCAGTTGGTCGGTTGTTATGTTGTTTCCATCTGTTTATTATCTCAGTGATACATTGAACATCTTTGTTTATACCTCCTTGTATACATAAATTGAATTCCTGAGAATATGCATATTTGAAATGAAATCATTGAATATTCATGGCTTGGGATATTTCTGTTTACAAAATAATGTGTAATGCTTGTAAGATTAAAAATAATATACGTGAACTGATATATATACTCATCACTTGGTGTAAGAAATATGAATATCTTACAAGTATTAATACCTTTACTGATTCTATTTTTCTTCTCTGCATAGAGGTAACTACTATTTTGAATTTCATTTTCTTTTCCATTCTAGCACATATGTATGTATGCTGATATCTGTGTCAGCACTTCTACTGCGACTTACGACAGATGTCTCACTACTATACAGAGTTATTAATGCTTCACTCATGAAGGACTCATGAAACTGGCATATAGTTGTCTTCATGACTGACATTTATTATAGCCATGTAGTGAGGATACACAGCTGGGTCAGTAAGAGAAAGAGACATAAGGCAGACTATAGAGGAATTCATGTGCAGGCTTTCTGTGCTCCTTAAAGGGGCCATGCATTCATTGTTACCAGCAGTGAAATGCAGTAATGTGTGTAGTCTTTCTACTCAGGAAAGGCTTTTGAAACAGCTTGTTTTTATTGGTGTCTTGTACCATAAACACTCTTCTTTCCACCAAAAAGTTCTATATTCTAGAGTACCTAGAAAGGAAACAGGTGTTTACCATAAATCACATAGTTTATGTAGATAGTCTAGTTAGGCTACCATAGAATGGTTGGTAGGGGAGCGAACATTCTGAAAGCCAAGTCTCCACATGCTATGTAGGAGCTAAGAAGCCCTGTAAGAAGACCCTTTAAATGTTCAGCTGTGTTAACTCTTTCCTGCATAGAGTGAATTCCTAAATATAGTATTTTCTATTTCCTTATATCTGTCTGGACTTTACCTAATTGGGATTATGTAATTTTGCAACTTTGTAAAATTGTTTGTAAAACAATTTATTTCTTCATTCAATTCATATTACTATGGTTTGTTTTACTGTTAGCATATGTAATATTAGATGAATATGCCATAATTTGTTCAGTACCAAAAGTTACTTTACCATATTGTCTCTAACAACTGGTTTGTTGTTTTGAAATTTTTTTTTCCATTTTAAGAACAAATGTGTTTAATAAGAATTGATAATTTAATAAAGTAGATCTAATGTATTTCTTCTATGCTAGAAATCACATTCAAAGTCAGTTCCAGTTTCTTCAAGGAAGAAGGAAGCCCCTCTGCAAGACATTATAGAACCAAATGAAACTGCCCACAAATCAGGTTGGTTACATCCTTGTGGGTGTTATTGCCTAGATGTAATTTCTGGTTTCTAGTTTCTAAAAAGTTAGAAATGCCAACGGTGGAGCATGTGTTGGCTCAAGTGAAGAGGTCAGGGTCAGCCTTGGTAGAAATGAGTGTGGTGTGTTTTTGGTATATTTTGTGTGTGTGTGAGTGTGTGTGTGTGTGTGAGAGAGAGAGAGAGAGAGAGAGAGAGAGAGAGAGAGAGAGAGACTGATGGATGTGTTTTTGAATCTCAAGTCATGATCAGTATTTTTTGTTTGTCTTTTTTGTTGTTGTTGTTCCATATCCTTTATTCAGTGAACTTGCTACCATTAAGAATTGAACCCAGGGGCACTCCATCACTGAGCCACACATTCCCAGCCTTTTTTTTTTTTTTGTAGTTTGAGACATAGTCTCACTAAGTTACTGAGGTTAGCCTAGGAGTTGTTATATACCTCCTGAGTTGCTGGGATTACAGGTCTGTGCCACCTTTCCTGGCTAAGTTTTCTTTATCTTTATTTTTCAAATTAGAAGAGTACTCCATTTGAGGGAACAGAGTCAAAGATTTAAAAGAAAAATCTTATCATTACTCCATCATCCTGGTGAGGTAACCAACTTTTGAGAATCCATCCTTGCCTTTGTTGGTGCTCATAAGTTAAAAAATGTCTAAGCACATGTGTAGGTATGTGTCTATGTCTTTATATTCTTTCTGAAGAGATTGTTAAAATTTTTCTTTCAATCCAACAATGTAAGAGTAATTTTTACCTGATAGACTATTGTTCTAATATTTTGTAAGATTTTGATAGTTCTGTTGGTGTAAAGCAATTTCATTGTTACTTTAGTGTCCATTTCCATGATTGCCATTGAGTCTGAATATTTTTCCTTAAGTTTATTGGCTTTTGGAATATGATTTTATCAGATTATAATGAATTATCTATGTCTGTTCATATCCTTTTCCTATTTTATTTCCAATTGAAATAAAATTTAACTCTTGAAACCATTTATCTTTGGCTGGGGGTTGGTGAAAAGTAATGCTGAGTTACCATAGGTATAGAGCTTTTATTGCATGATGAAAAAGTTCTAGATAATGGTAAAAGCTCCATATTGCTCTGAATGTGCTAATATCACTGAATTTTTGTGCTTATAGATGGCTAAAGTGGTGAATTCTAGTTATTTTATATTTTGCAGTGAAAAAAAAATAAAAAATGTTAGTCTGTCTCCTGCTTCCTCATCTACCTCACTGTTTAGTTTTAACTTACCAAATTTCTTATTAAGGTTAATTCTAGCTATATTACAGTTTTTGCTCTGTTCTGAATAGAACTTTTCCTAGTAATAAGGGGCTAATTATTTAAATACAGAAAAATTTTAATCTAACACCAAGATTTTTAAAAAATTAATTCCAAACATTAAAATATCCGAATCTGGATTTTAGGTTTTTTAAAGCCATTTGACTATGTCATCGAATAAGGAGAGGTATCTGTTATTTTATGTCCATTGTTCTTGGTGTAGTATTGACTTGTGAGACCTTTCCTCTTCAAATGTATGCATTTTGTATAAAGTTCTTTCTCAGCACTGCTGTAACCACATTTCCATAGATTTTGGTGTTATCTATTGATTTCACTTATTTCTATATTTTTTTAATATCCTTTGGGACTTCCTTAACATACTGGTTATTTAGAAGTGCATTAATTTTTAAGAATTTGGAAAATTTTTTATTTTTTCCTAATTTCTAATCCTGATTCTTTTGTGGCACAGCCTATACTATATGACTTTATTTCTTTAAAGTTTGTGAAAATTTATTTTATGACACAGGATGTTATCTGTCTTCATCAATGATTTGTAGACACTTGAAAATGTTTGCTCTTGTTGTACTACAAATGTCAGTTATCATGTGTGCATTACTGCTTTTTACATACCTGTTGTTGGGTGTGATTTGTTGAAATTTTTTTGAGGATTTTTGCATACAAGTTTATTGGAAGTATTGATCTATAGTTTTATTTTTTAAATGCTGTTTGTATGGTTTGGGTAGAAGGTAGTACTTGCCTTAAATGAATTGGAAATTATTTCCTTTTCTAAGAGAGACTGTCAAATGGGTATTAATTCATTGAGTGTTTTCTGTAATATTCTCCAATATTCACCAGATTGAGGAAATTTCTTTTTTAAGAGCTTCTAAACTACAAATTTAATTCTGTAATAGTTATAGGACTTTTTAGGTTATCTATTTCATGTTGGCTAAACTTTTATATTTTTGTAGATTTTAAGGAATTCATCAATTTCTTATAACTTTAATTTATGAGCTCAAGGTTGTTCATAGCATTATCCTATTATCTTTTCAGAAGCTACAGGATCTGTTGTGATATACCCTGTTTTCTTCCAGATGTTGATTCCTTTTTTTTTTTTAAATCTTTGTCAATTTTGATAGAGGTTTATCAATTTTATTAATTTTTTCCAAAGAACTATCTTTTTGTTTCATTAATTTTTTGTATAGTTTTCCTGTTGTCAGTTTCATTGGCTTCTACTGTTTTTCTTTTCCTTTGCTTGGCTTGTGTTTGTCTTGCTCTTTTTTTCTACTTTTTGAGGTAAGCACTTTATTTTATACTTTGATTTATAGTCCAATAGCATTTATTAATTTTGTTATACAAATTGTGATAGCTTTGACCTTTATATACTCTTTCATTAGCTTCTGTGTACCTTTGCTATACCCCATTTTTGTTGTTGTTTTTGAGTACATTATTATTTTCTAGAGCTACAAGATGCTCCAGATTTATCTTAAGTATTTGCTAACTCTATTGTAGAGATTGTAGAGATATTCATTTCTTCAAGGAAGAATATTTTTTTTAATGGATTTTTTTTAAAAAAACTGAATCTGAATCTATACTGATGTCTCCAACTTGAATGAATTGTCGTGTGGATTATTCTGTATATTTCCATGTTTGTAAGTACCCATTCCATGAGTGAAAAGCCTGGCGTATATCATTTACCATTCATTCATTTAGTTTTTAAATTTCTTTTACATATATAACCATATCATAATTGTTGACTCACACCCGATGGAAATCATTTTAATCAACCAAACTATAGAACTTATATAGTCACTGCCTTTGGTCTCGTAGATTGCACTCATTTCTAAATTTGCTTTGGTCAGTATTGCCCTCTACCCGGGATGGCGAATTGAGCTGGGTTCACAAGAGCTGGCTGCACCAATAACTTAAGAAAATGACGAAAGAAGCAAGCAACACACAGAAATATCTTTTGCTTGCAGGAATCAGGGATGTCTCTTGACGTTAAGGGTCCATTGAAAAAAAAGAGAGCGAGCCACCTGAAAATCCTCTATTTAATTGGGGAGAAAGACATTCAACCCAAATGAGAATAGAGATTGGGTTTCAGCGGGGTGTAGTCCAGTTTCATTGGGTGACGCCCACTCCCAGAGTATCATTCCCCTGCTGAGAGGAGGTGAGATCCACCTGTTTCAGCACGCAGCAGAAACCAGTCTGCAGCAGAAACCAGTCTCTGTCGCTCAAGGCTAAGGGCCTGTGCTCACTTCTGTGTGGTAGCTCCCAACAGGTCAGCATCATTTTCCCCAGCCCACTTCAATGAGATTGTTTTTATATACCCTGTATTGAATATGGAATATGTTATATTATCAACTTCCAAGATTAGGTTATCAAAGGCTGTATGACTCTCCTTGGCTTGCTTGTTGGAGATATCAAAATCCCTATTTCTTTCTTTTCTCTTTTCACATTTGTCCTTTGTGGATGAAAGTCCATATGGTAAGAAATAGGCACCCAACCTCTAGCTAGAATTAGGTATCAGACATTTAAGTAAGTTTTCAGATGATTCCTGGCCCCAGACTTATGAGCATGATTCTAGGCCCTGTGGGAGCAGAAATAAGGTACACTTATTGGGCCTGCCAGATTTGTGGCCCATAGGCTCCATGAACCTAAGTGGTGATTTTATGTGACCATGTTATATAGAGTTATTTACTATGCAGATCTAATAACTAGAAAAACTTTTTCAACTTTCATACTATTATCAAATCTATTTTTATTTTTACTTATTTTAAAAAAATTTCTTTTGCAGTACTGGGAATAGAACTACTGGTTTACATCCCCAGTTTTTAAAATTTTTAAACTTTTAGACAAGGTCTTGCTAAATAGTTAAGGTTGTACTCCTCCTGTCTGAGCCTCCCCAGTATCAGGAATTATAGGTGTGTACTTCCATGCCTGGCTATTTTTAATTTTTAAAAAAATCTATTGTATTTTCTTGGTATCATTTTATATTTCTACTGGCAGTGATTATGGGTTCTAATTTCTTCACATTATCACTAACAGTTATTTTCTGTTAACTCTGGAGTTTCTGTCTTTTATTTCAGGAGCATTGTAATTGTTAAAACATGTTATGGTATCTACTTTTAAATATCGTTAAATGATTCCAACATCTAATAGATCTCATCCCTTTATTTTCTTGTTCAGATTATGTTTTATTCTGTTCTTTTTTGTATGTTAATGAATCATTTTTATTGTATTTTGGATATTTGGGTTTTTAGTTAGTAAATTTTTGATCACATTTAAGTCTGTTGTTAATAACACATAGTTGACTTGTTTTGTTTTAATGTGTAGGTTCTTCCTTACTTGTGTGGTCTTTATTCCTAGCAGTGGTATTTTGTTCTGCTTCATTTTCTGATGATTTTAGAATTCTAGTTCAATTCCTGTTCATGGGTTTAAAATGTCTCTGGGGTGGGTGTAAAGTACTTTCTTGAGCCTCCTGATGTCCTGTTAGTCATGGTAGATTGCAGTCAGAAACTGCTAGGCTTGGGTCTCCTTATATGGGGTATGCTAGACTTTCTTAAATGTTGTTCTTCCCTCAGATTAAACTGTCTAACTGCCTTGGCTGTGAAGTGTGGTACACATTCAAATAATAACTTAGAATGTGAAGTAGGGGCTAGAAATAATAGAAGTTTCACTGTTCTGCAGTGTTTATGGGTCATACTTCTTGTCACCACTGATTGTCAGAATGGGACCTAAGTTGATAGGGGCTTTCCTTCTCTACTGTTGTTCTATAGCACAGTCAATGGCTTTGTTGCTGTGCCACAGTAAACAGAATGGAGTACCCCTTGGACTATGTTGTAGAGGGTTGAGATTTCCCACTAGTCTCTGTTGTGTTTTCCTTATTCAGAGAATGTGAATTTCTTCTTTCCTCTTTTGCCTACTGTTGATCTGGGTTGCATGCCTCTTCATGGCCCAGTCCAGAAGTGTGTGACAGATAAACAGGAAATCAAAAAGACTTACTGCATTGTCTGTTGTTCTTTAACCTATTTTGTCCTATCTTCTCAGATCTGGAACACCTATAAAGACTTTAATATGTAATAGTAAATATATAATTCCATGATGAGAATAATTATATGATTATGTTGTATTAATATTATTAGTTAATATAATTATGTATATAGTCTCTAGATTATGATTTCCAACCTATTTTAATGCACCTATGTCAATTTTGTTGAAATATTCACAGAATTGAAAGCTTGGGCCTTAATGGTTTAAGTCTTGAGGTTGCTAGTTGAGTCTGCCTTCTTTCTCCCAGCTTTGAGAGTCCTATTATTGTTGATTGACGGATAGTTTCTAATGAATTTAGTGATACTTACAGGGAGAAACAAGTAAATGCTATCTCATTCCAGAACCAACAGCCCTTTTTTTTCTTTTTTTTTGAGAGGGAGAGAGAGAGAGAGAGAGAGAGAATTTTAATATTTATTTATTTTAGTTTTCGGCGTACACAACATCTTTGTTTGTATGTGGTGCTGAGGATCGAACCCGGGCCACATGCATGCCAGTCGAGCGCGCTACCGCTTGAGCCACATCCCCAGCCCCCCAACAGCCCTTTTTGGTTGTACTTTAAGTTTTTAGGCTTTGTTTTCTATGGTATGAATTATTATGTATACTACCCAGCCATTCTTTTTCCTTGATATTTGAAGATTGAGGGTTAAGGAAGAATATACATATGTGTTTGTAAATTCATGTATATGTATATGTATATATAGATTAATAGATATATACGTAGGCACCATCTTCATATGTACACACATAAATATGAATTGCTTTATACAAACTGTGTATCGTGTGTGTGTGTGTGTGTGTGTGTGTGTGTGTGTATGTGTATGTGTATGGTCTTTAATTGTCCTTGCTTACTAGCTTTTAGCTAAAGATAGAAGAATCTTTGTGATTACTCTGGGTTACTTTATTATTTTAGCTTTTCATAGATTTATTCATATTTTGAGATGTTATCAATAAACTTGTAAATTTTCTTTAGTATTTCTGTCTTTTCAGAGCTTTAGATAACAAGTTTAGTTCATTAATTGATAATTAGAACTTTTAAAGTATTTTTGTATTTTAATCATGTCTTTGATTATGAATATGTTCTGAAAACAGTCTTCTGAAAACTTCTAATTAAAATATTGCTAATTAAAATATTGTACCTTTAATTCTAATACTATTTTAATGAACAAGAATCCTTGTATAATTTTCTTCTAGTACAAGGCCATGAAGTTCTTCAGAAAATCCTGGCAACTGATATTGTTTCTAGAAATACACCCGACTTGAAAAAAAAGTCAAGTAAAAAACCAAGTGACCATCCTAGTGAAGCTGAGGAAGAATTTTATTTATCTGTTGGCTCACCTGCTGTTCTTTTGGATGCAAAAACATCTGTATCACAAAATACTAGTTCATCTCTTGCTCAAAAGAGAGAGACTTATACTTTTGGAAATTCGTTAAATATGCTGTCTTCAAGTACAGAGATTTCTCTTAAAACCAAAAAAAGGTAATCTTTACTTAAATAGTAGTAATCATGCTTTAAAATTTTTACTATTTGTAAATAGTATTTTACTATTAAATAGTAGTAATTCGGTCTTCCATGTAGTTTTGCAGTGATTATTAATGGGTTTTAACATGTCATGAGAAAAACAATATCTGTTTTCTCTATCTTCATTTTATGATTGATAAGGAAGACCTTAAAAGTTTACTTGAGAGAAGTGAGGAAGTAAACCTTTTTATAGTCTTCGGAAAATTATTGTTCTGTTTTAAGTTTTCTATAACTTCCTAAAGAACAATCTATCCCTACTATTATATTTAAAATTGCAAATGTAGGTACATATTAGGTCATTTCTGGGCTAGGAAAGAGTATGTGTTATTGTAGATGAATTGTTGTAAATCTAATTCCATTTCTTGGAGTCCCTTTGACCTTTAGGAAGAAAAGTAGGTTGTTTAAAATCCTTTGTTATTGTAGGCTTTTACAATGAATCTAATATCTGATCTGTCTTATGTGTTTCCTGGAGCTAAGGAGTTAAGTCTTAATATTTTTGTCTGAATATTCTAAGACTTTACTATTTAAAGTGTAGTCTGGGCTGGGGATTTGGCTCAAGCGGTAGCGCGCTCACCTGGTATGCGTGCGGCCCGAGTTCGATCCTCAGCACCACATACCAACAAAGATGTTGTGTCCGCCGAGAACTAAAAAATAAAAACATTAAAAATTCTCTCTCTCTGTCCCTCCTCTCTCACTCTCTCTTAAAAAAAAAAATAAAATAAAATAAAGTGTAGTCTGTCACAGTACTCTGAGAACCAGTGTTCTAAGCTACACATTTTCTTGGTTAATAATTTAACCTTTGTAAGGCTCAGTGCAAAATTTCATAAGTGGTCTGTGCCAATACTGTAAGTTCAGTAAGACTCAAATAACAGAGTTTATGGGTGCACTTAGCTTGTTTTTCTCTTGCCCTTTTAGGTTAAACTTTGAAGATAAAGATATTTTTAAAAAAGTAGAAATAGAGAATAAAGTATCAGAAGTAGAAAATAAAATACCAGAAGGACAACAAGAAAGGAAGCCATCAGAAACATTTCAGAAAAGTGTACAGGATTTGGAACATGAAATTCAACCACAAACTAAAAAGAGCTTTTCAACATTGTTTTTAGAAACTGTAAGAAGAAAAAGTGAATTCAGGTGAGTTATTAAGAAACTGTCCTTTGAGACATTTTTTTTTTCTTTTCTATTCTATGAACCATATCTTCAAATTCCTACTGTTATTTATCTAGAAATAAATCATTTAATTAATTAAAATTTTATTTTATTTTTTGAGATGGGGTCTTGTTACATTGCTTAGACTGGCCCCAAACTCAGGATTCTCCTGCCTTAGCCACCCAGGTTGCTAATTAATGCAAATTTTTATTGAAATTTTGCCTGCTCTATAGAGGTAATTTTTTCATTTTTTAAAAATATAATTTTTAGTTGTAGTTGGACACAGTATCTTTATTTTATTTATTTTTATGTGGTGCTAAGGATTGAACCCAGGACCTCACACATGCTAGGTAAGGGCTCTACCGCTGAGCTACAATCCCAGCACCAATTTTTTCATTTTTTAAACCAGTAAATCACTCCCCAAACCATTCTTTAATAGACACTAAATTAGATATGAAAAAAAAAAATGAGTTTATTCAGTTCTCATTGCTCTGGCTCATCATTTCTTTCTGGTTTGTGATATCAAAAAATGAAGACAGTATTTATAAATAGAATTATATAAGACTACTTGTATTTCACTATTTCAGGTTTTATATCTTTTTTCTATTTTTTCTGTGTCAGTAAAATGATAGTCCTAAAATAAATTTAATGTGTTCATTTCTATTTAACCCACTAAAGTCCCAACTTTTAAGTTCTTCAGATATTTCAGTGAAATTGACACAGGTGCATTAAAAGGGTTTGGATATCATAATCTAGAGCTTATATTGCTACATTAATGTTAATATTATTATTAACATTATTATTGTATAATAATGTTATATCATTGCATTATATACTGTATGCTATATATAAGTCTTCATAGGTATTCCACATCTGGGACATGGGGAAAAATGGATCAGAGACCTTCCTTGGTTTTGAAATATCTGTGTAGTGATTTTAACCCTGGCTTCACATTTATATAAATAATGTCAGTCAGGATTGAGAAGTATTGGTCCATAGAACAAATTTCAGCTGGTATTTCATCCTCCCTAATTATCTGTTTTTATCTTCTTGGTCTTATATATTTGCATATGTGTTTGCTTTGCCATAGCTTTTTCCTTTTTCATCTGCTAATTGCTGTTTCTTTTTATGGTCTGTACTAGACTTCTACATTTTTAAAGTTTTACTTTATTGTTTTGTTTTGTTTAGATAGTTGCTTGCTTCATATTATAGTTTTGCAATTTTAGGTATGTATTTTTAGTTAAGATTTAAGTCTCCCATTCCAGGAGTTTAGAGTTCTTTTGTATTTTCTGTTCAGTCTATTAGAGTACTTATCAACATATTAGGATGTTTTTTATAAAAACATGTTGAATCAATAAATGAAATTCCCATTTTGTTCAGTCTCTGTTCCCATAATTAATTTCCCAGTTACACACACACACACACACACACACACACACACACACACACAATCATTTACATGCATATGTTCCCCACCAGTTGAGACAAATATGTTACACTTGGGGTTAGTTATAGCATTTGAAAGGGTAATTGTGTGTTTTTTAATGTCCTTTTTGATAAACTAGTAAATAAAGGTAGTTTACTTGCTAGAGACAAATGTAACAAGTCATTATTTCCTGTGCTTTCTAGTATCACTACTTTTACTTATGGTCTTCCTTCTGTTTGTGTTTCCTTATGACCAACTTCTTGCAGCTCAAAGGCCGCAAAGTCTTTTTCACTTAGTCAGAAGTAATCGTGGCCTATTCTGAACTTTAATAGTGTCAAAGTTGTTTCTTTAGGGTATCTTTGGTTTGAATAACTGGCTAGATGGAAATCCCTTGAAGTAGAAGGGGAACAAATTTGGCAGTTCTTAATCTGCTAGTTGGAAAGACTTCATTTAAAAAATCTTAGCTTTACCTCTTTATATACAAAAACTAATAGATGTTACAAATAATACACTATAAATCAAATTGTATTTATTTGTAACAGTTTGATTATTTACTTAAAAGTAGGAAAAACAATATAACCATTGTGTATTCAGTCATTATGGTCTTTTATTCATGTTATATATATATATATATATATATATTTTTTTTTTTTTAATTTGTTGCTAACATAAATGCAATTTTCTTTTTTTTTAAATTTTTTTGTTCTTTTTAGTTATACATGACGGTAGAATGTATTTTGACATATCATACATACATGGAGTGTAACTTCCTGTTATAGTAAGCTTTTTCACCACTGTGACTAAAAGACCCAACCAGAACAAGTGTAGAGGAGAAAAAGTTTATCTCAGGGCTCATGTTTTCAGAGGTCTTAGTCCATAGAAGTCCTGCTCCATTCCTCAAAGCTGGGTGAGGCAGGACATCATGGTAGAAGAGTGTGGCAGAGGGAAGCAGCTCACATCATGGTCAGGAAACAGAAAGAGAGATCTCCACTTGCCAGATACAAACATATACCCCAAACCCATGCCCCCAATCCTTACATCTTCCCGCCACACACCCTTCTATTTCAGTTACCACTCAGTTAATCCCTGTTGGGAGATTAATTCACTGATTGAGTTAAGAGTCAAACCCAGTCATTTCTCCTGAACTTTCTTACATTGTCTCACACATGAGCCTTTGGGGGACACCTCACATCTAAACAATGTGATACTTCCCATTTTTGTGATTATACATGATATGGAGTTACACTGGTGGTGTATTCATATATTAGCTTAGGAAAGTTATGTCCCATTCATTCTACTCTCTTTCCCATCTCCATCCCCCTCCCTTCTCCTTACTCACTCTTCCCTGTCCAATCTGGTACTCCCCCCCCACACCCCCATTGTGAGTCATCATCTGCATATTAGAGAGAACATTTGGCCTTCAGGTTTTGGGATTGGCTTACTTCATTTATAATAGTCTCCAGTTCCATCCATGTACTGGCAAATGCCATAGTGTAATTTTCTTCATGGCTGAGTGACATTGCATTGTGTACATGTACTACTCTTAGTTTTTACACAGTTTTCTAATTACATAAATCTGTAAAACTCTACAACCAGCAGACAGTGTATTAACATTCTCTATTTTATAAAATTTATTAGGAGTATAAGATTAGAAGAGTAGAGAAGGAATTTTATCTTAGAATCCTCTAATAAAAAGGGAAAGAAATGTAATCTTTTTCTTCTATTCTGCCTTTGCTTCTGCTTTGACTAAACATTAAGTAAGCATCCTTATCCAATTGAAAAAGGCGGAAACCAGGAGTGTGTATGCCAGCTTTGGAGTTTATCCTAAGTTTTGATTTTGCATATCTCATTAAAGCCTGTGGTTTACTCAAGTCTGTTACCATAAAAGCAGGGAAATATAAGATGAATCCATCAGCTTACTATCCTTTGAATAATTAGATTGTATTAGAGTTAATATTAGATTGTAGATTATACTTAATGTTAGATTGGGATTGTAGTTAAAATTTTCAAATTGTTTTGTTATCCTTTTATAGCACTAAATGTGAGAAATTATGACAATATTTATATAATATAACAAGTTAGGTTGGGATGTGGAAAAAGAGGGCTAGAATACGCAAACATTATTAGATTCCATTTGTGCTTATGCTACCTTTAAATATCATCCAGTTATGATTATAGTACTGAAATGTACGTGAACATGTGTGAAATATTCAAACTTGAGATGAATTTTTACATTATATTTGGTGGTTCTATGTATGAAGTCCTTTGGGATATGAAAAAAATTAGAAGAAATTAGTCCCTTATAATTTAGTAGAGTTCAATTAAAATATTAGATTTGGAGGTTTCTCAGAAATAATACTGTCAATATGAAGAAATTCAGACCCCAAAAGGCATCTATTTAAACTTATAATTTAATAAAATATTATGTGTGTTTCTGTGTGTGTGTGTGTGTATGTGTTTATGTATACACACACTATCATCTTTTTGGATTATAAGTTAATGTTTCTGGGTTATGATTTCTCATCTGGGTTTCATTTTTTTAGTTTATATCGGGGGGGGGCATCAAATTAGTTGCCATCTCTAAATTTTTATGATCCTTTTAGTGACATAAATGAGAGTGATCATTTAAAAGGAAGGATTTATAAAATTAAGGGAAAATTGAGGAGAAGTATGAATTGCTCTTTTAACAGATATGTAGATTTTATTTCTTATATAATTTTCTTCAGTAAACAAAAATAAAACTTAATTTTTTTAAGCTGTTAAAATAATAATCCTGTTTTAGTCCCATTGTTAAGCATATAGTGACTGCTCCACCTCATTCATCTTCTCCAAATGATATGAAGCTGTTAGAAGATGAATTTGTAATTGATGAGTCAGATAAAAGTTTTGCCAGTGGATCTTGGATTACAATACCAAGAAAGGGTGGATCTCTGAAACAACCCACGATATCCCCTGATGAGAGCACTGCAGTCCTTCAAGGTAAGAAGTCCAGAGAAAAACATCGAAGTGTATCACCTAACACTTTGAGAAGTGACCAGCATTTGCATAAAGCTCATCCAGAACAGAAATTTCAACCCTGTGATGAAAAAAAAGTGGATACAAGTTCTTCTTTGACAGATGAATTGGAAAATAATGACAGATCTACAAAATATGAAATCTCTTCTGAAAATGTCAAAAAACCATCTGAAAACAAAAGGCCAATAAAACAAAATCAGAGAAGAAAATTTAAGGCCAACGTAGTTAAAGAACAGCTTGATCTGGAACAGTCTAAAGATAAAAATGTAAATATGTCACACTCTGCTGAAGACAAGTTGCAAAAAAATTTACACAGAAATGGAGAAGATTGTGAAGGGACGAGAAATGATAATATATTCAAAACACCTACACTACCTGTAGGTAAGTATTTACATTAAATATTAACTGAATGTTATTTTATAATTTACATTTTTAACATCCCTGTGTAGCTTTGGGAAGTAGGCAAAGTAAATCTAAATCTACAGAGAGTTTCAAAATTCTATAGGTTCATTTTTAGAATCAATTTATGTTATGTATAATTTAATTTCAACTTTAATTTTTGTTTAGTTTCTAAGATCCTATCACATAGAGGGAAGAATAAAAGGCAAAGATTAGTTTTTAAAACACAAGTGAAACAGAATCAAATTCTTAAGAGTATTAAAATATAAATGGGGTAAAACCTATTATACCCAATATACACACTGTATATCAGTATAGTGTGGGCTACATACATGCTCTTCTATCATTCACTAATTTATATGTTATTAAGTGCCAGACAGTTTTGGTATGAAAATCAAAAAGATTACTGAAACATAATTTCTACTGTTAACAGTATCATTTTAGTGGGGTCTATAGACCAACAGATAAATGTACTTACATGTACAAAATGAACATGGAGGCACAAAAAACAATTATCTAACCAAGATCACAGTAAATATTTGTATCTTAGGTGGTCCTATAATTTATCATCCTAATGAGGCTACTTTTATGAATGAGAATGTCAGGACAATAAGTATAAACTGAAATTGTCCTATACTATCTGAGAGTGTGGCTGCTCTCCTTAATATATCATCATTGTTTAGTGATTGGGATTTGTAATTACACTTAGTCATGAAGAAAAGGTCAGTTTATAGTCTTCTTCTTTTTTTTTTTTTTTAATAGAGGATAATGAAATCAAGGGCATTTTTTAAAAATATTTTTTTAGTTGTCAGTGGACTTTTACTTTATTTATATGCAGTAATGAGAATTGAACCCAGTGCCTCACGTACTAGGCAAGCGCTTTACCATAGAGCTACAACTCCAGCCCCTCAGTTTATGTTCTTTGTAACACTTTCAGTTAATAGAAAAGGGGTCATAGAATTGAATTCTCTTAAGAACAGTTAATGGAAGAAAAAACACTAGCAAATTTGTTGGGCACCTTTATAAATGTATATAGTGTAATTTAATCCTTCTTGACAATCCTGTAAAGGAGGAAGTAACACTGAAAAAAGATTAAAATAAATCTTGTCCAGGAACTGTCCTACCATACAGCTCCTATTTTTTCAGTTCTGCTAAGAAATATTTTAAAATGTGAAGATATTTTCAATGTTCAGTGGAAAAAAATAGCTAACCAGAAAATGCTGTTGACTAACCAGAATTGTGTATGTACCTGAAAATTCTAGATGACTACATGATATTGCAAATACAGAGGTGAGAAAGAGCATATTAGAATATAATATTAAAGGTTATTTTTTGGGCTGGGGATGTGGCTCAATCGGTAGTGCGCTCACCTGGCATGCGTGCGGCCCGGGTTCAATCATCAGCACCACATACAAACAAAGATATTGTGTCCACTGAAAACTAAAAAATAAATATTAAAAAAAAATTCTCTCTCTCTCTCTCTCTCAAAAAAAAGGTTATTTTTGTAAAAAAGAATCCAGTTTATTAAGGTTATCAGTGAATTATTAATTTTTGTGCTCTTTTGGTATACTCTGTAAGATGGACTGTATATTATCCAAAGTAGTAGTATACAAGTTTTGTCTGTTTGCCTTTCTTTATTCTGCTTGAAGTAGAGGTGGAAAAAACTACCTTTTCTATTTTGAGGACCCCTTTTGTAAATATTGGCCATGTCCTACAGTCATTTTATCATATTTGTTCTTTATTTTTTAAAATTTCCTTTAGTTTCTAATAATTTGGCCATTTTAAGAATCTGACTAATCTAATGGTGATATTATAAGAAAGTTTTTATCTTAACTATTCCCTTAAGTAGAATATGACTTTACAAAATTTTAAAGTAGAGAATTTTGATCAATCCATGATTTCTTAAGAGAAGATAATGTATGAAGGATATATACTTGAAGAATGGTTTCTGTAGTTGAAATATTATACATTTATTGAGTACCTATACACTTTAACACGTTGTCCTGTCTAGATTGTTCTGTGAATATGATGTTCTGTTTCATCACTATACCAGTTGTAATTTTCTTCACTGCCCCGCCCCCATTCTTCCTGTCCAATCCAGTGAACCTCCCCTTCATTCTTCTTTATGGCTGAGAAATATTCCATTGTGATATGTACTATATTTTCTTTATCCCTTCATCTGTTGAAGGGCACCTAGGTTGGTTCCATAGTTTAGTTATTGTGAATTTTCTGTTTTAAAAAATTACCATACACTCAGTATCTTAAAACAACACATATTTAGTAACTTATAGTACTATAGGTCAGAAGTTTCACTGGGCTAAAACCAATGTGTTGGTGGAACTGTATTTCCTTCTGGTGACTTTGCAAGAGAATCTGTTCCCTTGCCTTTTCTTCTTGACACGTATATTCCTTGGCTCGTGATCCTCCACCATCATCAAAACCAGCAATGCCAGACTTGTTAATTTTTCTTGCCTCTTCTGTCATCCTGTATCTGACTACAGATTAAATGACACATGCAGTTTTAACTATGCATAAATTTGGCCAATCTGAATAGTCCAAAATAATTTATTTTCAAGGTTTATGATATAAAATCTTCCAAAAAATAGATTGTAAAAAATCATTAATTATTTCAAAATGAAAAACAGTAGTTACCTATTTTAACTTGAGATATTGGTAAGTGGTAAGAAGGAACAATATATTTTTTTCCTTTTGTAAGCTAATTTATATTTTGGTTTAGTAGTATATCAGAATTATCAAGCCATATGAAAGCTTGCATTTAATCAGAAAGTTAGAAATCTTAAAAACATGTAAATTTTAAAAACTTGAGATGACGTCTATAGGCTCAATTTAATAAGTTCTATTTTTTTAATTTTATTTTAGGAGATAAGAAAATAAATAGAGGCACCAAAAACAATAAGGAAGAATCTAGAAAGAAGCATTTTTCAAGTGAGTCCAAGAAGAATAAACTTGTACCTGAAGAAGTGACTATTACTGTCATGAGAAGTCATAGGCTTTCCAGGCGTCCATCTGATTGGTGGGTGGTAAAATCAGATGAAAGTAAGTATTTTTATTTAAATTATATTCATTAAGAGGTACTAAAAAATTACTGTGTAAGGGGTTTTTTGTTTGATTTATACTCCTATTATATAGAAAAAAATCTTGAGAACATAATTTAATTGGGTCATCAATAGACATTTTGTTTAAATCAATTATGCAGAAATTCCTAGGTATAGGGAAATAGCTTTGGAAAAACAAAGCCATGAACAAAGTCCCTTGCTCATGTAGTTTACGTTCTAGAGGGACAATATAGGTAAGTATTTCATACACTGATAGATGAGAAGGTCAAACAAAGCAGATAATGTATGGACATGGGAAGGAAGTTATAGGAATGGAAGTGAACAAAAGGATAGAGTGTGATACTAGTTTATAATGGTAGTATAAGAGGCTATTATGATCTTTCAGAGCCCATATAGGAGTAGAGGGAGGGAGCCATACAAATAACTAGATGTAGAGTGTATCAAATCAAGGGAACAGTAATTATAATTCCTGATGGGGCATACTTGCCATGTCTCAGGAAAATTAAGAGAGCGAGTGTGGCTGGAGCTAAGTGAGCTAGAGAAGATAAATTTGGACAGTCAGGCCATGATAGAGAGGTTAGATAAAATATATCGAGAAACTACTTGAAGATTTAAAAAATAAAGTGACACAGTTGACTCATCTTTTAAAAGGATCATTTTTACTGCTCAGGAGAGAGGAAACCAGGACTAAGCAAAAATGGAAACCTGGTGTGACTAGTTTTAGGAGGATGGTGAAGGGAGGAGATGGGAATTGTTGGATTCAGGATATTTTGTGAAGATAACACTAAGGAAATATAAATGGATTAGCGTGAGAGAAATAGCTATTGTTTACTGAGATGAGGAAAGGAATGAGAGAAAAAAAATTTTCAAAGGATTTTATGATTTCAGGTTTTCATATGTTAATTTTGAGGTGTTATTAGATATCAAAATAGTATATTCAGGATATATTTAGATCAGTAAGAGCGAGACTAGTACAGATAAGGTACAACATCTATGAAGATTTGTTACTATGAATTATTGACTCATAAGAACTTCTATTGAATTATTGGTAATACAAATGAGACATTATTGTAGAAAACTTATGGAGACACTTGGCCTCAGAGTTATGTCAGTTCAAGCTCTTACTTGTATGACCTCCAAAGTGGTTACCTTCTTTAATTTTCTGCCTGAGTACAGTATTTCTTTATGATAGTGTACCCCATTGGTATACATTAGGAATACAAAAGTAGGTAAAATATAGTCAATTCCTTGATCTCTGGGAATTATCAGTCTGCTGGAGGAGAGGGATAGAGATAAGTAAACAGTCAGATATGTAATAAATATTATCAAATGATTAAGAGATAGTTATACTAAGACTTGGGAATTAGTGAAAGCTTCCTGAAGAATGAATTAGAAGTCAGCTAGTTGGATGGTGTGAGAAGGAAGGATGTCATTTTTGAACAGACGTAGCTTGTGCAGGGATCTGGAGCTGAGGGCTTGACTTTTTTGTTTGTTTGTTTAGTGTGTCTCAAAATAATCTAAAAGGCTTATTAAAACATTTCTGGGCCCTGCTTTGCAAGTTGGTTTGTGTTGTTTGAAGCTAGAGCATGAGAATTTGCATTTCAGACAAATTCCCAGGTGATGCTGATCTTATGATATAAAGACCACATTTTAAGAATAAATACTTTAGAGAAACTACAGATATTTCTGTACTGCTGGTTTTATTTGTTTGAAAGGACATGGTTGAGAGTTGTAGGTTATGAAATAAACAATCTAGATGTAGAAATAAATTGATGTTAAAGTATTTAGACTTAATCCTGAAGCTGTAGATACTTACTGTAAGATTTTACATTTTGTTTCTTTGAGACAGGTTGTCCCTTTGTTGCGTAGACTGGTCTACAACTCATGAGCTTAAGTGATCCTCTTGAGAGGCTGAGGCTATACGTGTGTGCCACCATGCACAGCCTCTTACTAAAGGATTTTAAACAGGGTTATAAGAATCCTATTTATGTTTTCCAAAGATAATTTTAAATCAATATAAAGATTGGGTTGAATAACAAGGGTACAAAAGGGAAAAACTGTTAAAGAGCTGTTTTATTAATCCAGAAATGAAAGGGCAAGGGCTCTGCTAATGACAGGCAGGACAGCATGAAAGAAGCACATTTGAGAACTATGGAGTGGCACTTGTAACAACACATCTCATCATTATGTATAACTATAATGCACTGATTTTTAAAAAATGGAAAAAATAAAAAGGAGTAGGACTGATGGGTTTTAGGGATTGATTGTGAGTAAGGGCAAGATGACTCTGATTTTTTATTTAGGCATCTGGATAGTTATACTTACCATAAATATAGGAATAAAATGAGAAAAAGATTTAAGGATGAGTGGTAGATGCATATTATTGGTGTCATCATATAGGTATCAATTCAAGCTATGGGTAGGTAGATAGATCCCCCAAAGAAATAAAGAGTAAAAAGTTATAGGTAGAACCTTGGGAAATACCAGAATCTTAAGGATTATCAGAGAGTACTAGGTAAATACAGAGAGAAGGTTATTTGGTAAGCTTGTGATGCATTTAAAGGATCTGGTGCATGTCTTTCTAAGTTGAATTTAAAGAATTTTTAAAGGGGGAAATAGGAAGGGTAGCAGAATACAATAGACACTAATATGGCTGTAAAACCAATGTGGTACTGCAAGCTGTACACGTGGAAAAAAAAAAGAATGCATACCCCACTTGAATCAAATGTATGATATGTCAAGATCATTGTAATGTTTTGAGCAACTAATAAAAAAAAATGTAAAAAAAAAGAATTTTTAAAGAATTTAATGTGGAAACAAATTTACCCTGAGACTAGTCTGTGTGTATGTGTTTATATATAAATATGAATGACATTGGCATTTTAGTGAGCCAAATCATCTGGACAAACATGATAACTTTAAATTTTCATTGAATCTTTTAGGTCCTGTTCATAGCAATTCTTCAATAAAAAATGAATTATCAGTGTATCACAACCCTAGACAAAAATCTGCTAAGAAAACAAATCAGTCATCTAAGAATACTGGGAAAAAAGCCATTCCATTAAAAAAGCAGAAGACAGCTATGCAAGGCAGCTCAAGAGTACAGAAATTTTTAAATGTTAAAGGTTCTGAGTATATTAGCAACCATGAAAAACTTCCCAGTTGTTCCCAGAATGAGCCATCAGAAAGTGACAAAGCTGACCTGGCTGCAAAGAAAAGTCTTGATTGTTCTGGGTAATGTCTGTCATGTTTACAATATAGTTATTGTTGTTCCACATTTAATATTTTGTCTATGTTATTTAACCATTTATAGAAAGAATGTATCAACCTAAAGGACTCCATAGTCTGACAGATCTGGTATTAAATCTAGGCTCTGCCTTTAGCAGAGCAAAGTAGTAATCTGATCTTGTTTCCTCATATTAATATAGGTAATAATAATAGCACATAGGATTGTCAATGTTAGATTTAATGAATTATTATTTTTGCCTGAGTTGCTTTTTTAAAAAAAATGACAAAAGATGCACAATAAAATTTATTGTCTTAATCACTTTGAAGTACATAGTTTTTTTTGTTTTGTTTTGTTTTGTTTTTTACCTTATAAAATGAGATGAATGTGATGTCAGTTTGAAACATGTCAGTAATTTTCCTTTTAATATATTAGTTAACATTTTTGGAGTACCTACTAAGTACTAAATGATTTTTAATAAATTCTGTTGAGCTAATTCTGTTTTTATAAATTCTTGCTTTTTGCTGTAGCATGCATTCAACAAATATTTAATGCATACAATATTAGAAACAGCAAGGTGGGGCTAGGGTTGTGGCTCAGAGGTAGAGCATTTGCCTAGCATGTGTGAGGCGCTGGGTTCGATCCTCAGCACCACATTAAAAAAAAAAAAAGGAAAGAAACAGCAAGGCACTGGCGGTAAATTAGGGGAAATAAATGATTAGAATGGCCTAAAATATATTTTGAGTATGTCATTAGTGTATATAAAAAAAGATCCCAGATATATTCCCAAGTTTAATTTCTTCAGATTATTTTTTTAAAGAAATCTTGCTAGATTTGGTTTCATCAAAGTTCTTGTTGGTATATAGTTGTTCATAGTATTCTCTTACAGTTGCATTTATTTTTTTTGACTCTGATGGTAGGACTCCAGAAATAAAATTTCAAAAGGAATAGAGTGTTTGCATATATTTGGGGTAAATTGAAAGCTACCAATGACATGAGCTTTGTCCCTCTGAAGACCCTACTGCTGACCTAGTGTTATCAAAGAAAATTATTTAAGTTGCTTATGGTTTCTCCAGTAAATTGATATTAGACTAATTCTAGAATATACATTGTAAGCTACCTATAGGTAATATCTTCTCATGTCCTTCTGTCATTTGCTCCCATCCTTGTTAGACCAGGTTTGCACTAGTTTTCTCATTGGAATTTTTCGAATTGGAAATCTTGATAGGTTCTAGAATCAGTTTTTTACCTGAGCCAGTTGTAGGTCTTAGGGCATGAACATGGTGAGCTGATATTTGTTATAGCCAACATTACATTGTTTATATACCCACTATATGAACAGTTTTAAACTTCATTTTTGTAGAACTACAGAGCGCTCCAAGGATCAATGTGGTGTTACAACTGCACAAAATGTTCGTTTAAAGTCTCAGACCAGTGACCATATTTGCAAGACACCAACAGAGTCTAATTTGGATTCTGGAAAGTGTAAAACTTCAGTTTTGGAAGAAAGGTATGCATGTATTCTAAGATTAATAAGTTTTACCTATTTATATTAGGTACCCATTGCTATGTAACCAGTTACCTCAACACTTAATTTTGTTATAGGCTGATAAGCTTAAAAGGTTATGAAAAACAGCTATGGCAATTTTAGGAGAAAAATGATAAGTAAGCTTAAATACATTATATATATGTATTATAAAAACATGGATTTTTATGGTTTATTTATTTTTTCTTAAGTGGACCATCCAGGATCAAGAACTATTTAATGTTTGGGAAGAATACTTCTGATGTGTGTGATGAAGAAGTTCAGGAAAGGTTAGGTAAGTTACTGTTTATTTCTACTGTGTTGGTTTTTATGGAATTATATATATATTATAAGGTATGATGTGTTTTATTTAGTTAAACTTGCACTGATGGGAAATATGTATTGAGTACCTACTCCTTAGAGACTTACAATATATTTAGAGATTTGTAAGAGGCTAATAAAATGTTGGCATTTTAAGTTCTTTCTTTTAAGTAGGGCTAATAAAATGTTGGCATGTATCTACTCCATTGTTAAGGGGACACGTGACGCAAAATTAACTATCTATTGGTGGTTGCTGAAGCTGGGTGATGGGTGTTTAAGGTTCATACTGTTTTTCTCTTTTTTGAATAGTTCTGAAATTTTTCATATAGGTTTTTTAAATACTTTATTTTTTAAAAATTGGTTCTTTTTAGTTATACATGACAGTAGAATCCATTTTGACATAATCGTATAAGCATAGAATATATTTTGTTCTAGCTCAGACCCCATTACACTTTTCCCCCTTCCCTCTTGCCACCTCCTGCTTCCTGTCTCTATTGATCTTTCTGCCATTTACCATATTTATTTTTTTAAATTACTTTCTAGTGGATTTACTGTGATATATTCATATACGTACATAGGAGGGTTATGTCAGATTCATTCCACTGCCATTCCTTTTCCTATCTTCCCGAACTTCTATCACCACCACCCCTGCCTTGTTGTGGGTTAGCTTCCACATATTAGAGAAAACATTTGACTTTTGGTTTTTTGGAATTGGCGTATTTTATTTAGCATGACAATCTTCACATTCATCCATTTACCAGCAAATGATATAAACTCATTCTTCTTTATGGCTGAGTGATATTCTATTGTTCCTGTATACTACATTTTTTTAATTCATTCATCTGTTGAAGGGCCCCTAGTTTGCCTTTTTAGCGTAGCTATTGTGAATTGTGCTAATTGTGGGTCTTCAATCCATTTTGAGTTAAGTTTTGTGCAGGGTGAGGGGGGGGGTTAAATTTTATTTTTCTACATATGAATTTCCAGTTTTCTAGCACCATTTGTTTAAGAGGCTATCTTTTCTCCAATGTACATTGTTGGCAACTTGTCTAGTTTGAGATGGATGTATTTATGTGTGTTTGTCTCTCTGATTTCGTGTTCCATTGGTCTTCTCGAGTATTTTATTTTTTGAGGCTATTTTGAATGGAATAGTTTTCCTAATTTCTTTTTTCAGCTGATTTATCATTGGAGTTTAGCAATGTGATTGTTTTAGGAGTGTTTATTTTATGTACTGCTACTTTGCTGAATTCATTAATGTATTCTACAACAGTTCTGCTGGAGTGTTTTGGGTCTTCTAAATATAGGATTATGTTGTTGGTAAACAGTTTGAGCTCTACTTTTCCTATTTGCATCCCTTTAATTTTTTCTTTCGCCTAATTGCTCTGGCTAGAGTTTCAAGGACTATGTTGAATAGAAATGGTAGAAAAAAGAGGGCATCCCTGTCTTATTCCTGTTTTTAGAATGAATGCTTTCAGTTTTTCTTTATTCACAATGATGTTAGCCTTGAGTTTTATACAGCTTTTATGATGTTGAGGGAGGTTCCTTCTATCCCTAGTTTTTCTGGTGTTTTAAACATGAATGGGTGCTGTATTTTATCATGCTTTTTCTGCATCTTTGATATAGTCATGTCATTCTTGTATTTAAGTCTTTTTTTTTATAGTGAATCAACTTTATCAATTTCGGAATGTTGAGCCTACCTTTCATCCCTAGGGTGAAACCTATTTGATCATGGTGCACTGTCTTTTTGATGTGTTTTTATATGAGATTTGTCACCGTTTTATTGAGAATTTTTGCATCTGTGTTCATAAAGGATATTGGTCCAAAGTTTTTTTTTTCCTTGATGTGTCTTTGTCTGGCTTTGGTATCAGGATGATACTGGTTTTATAGAATGAGTTTAGAAGATTTCTCTCCTTTTCTATTTCATGGAATAATTTGAGGAGGATTGGTTTTAGGTCTGGTAGAACTTGGCTGAGAACCCATCCAGTCCTGTACTTTTCTTTTTTTGGTAGGCTTTGATGGCTTCTTTCTTTCTCTTTTTCTTTGGAGATTTTCTCCCTTTTAAATCAATGATCACCTTATCCAGCTTCAGAAACCTGGACAAAGAGGAAGCTGAGAGTGGGCCTGGTTCAGTGTCAAAGGTCTCTGAGTGATTTTGTGTCAGCACATGGAGGCTTCTTCACTTTCATTACTTGAAATTGAAACGTTTAAAGTTTCTATGCCTTCTAGGTTCAAATTGTATAGGTCATATGACTCCAGGAATTTGTTGATGTCAAGATTGTCTTCTTTATTGGAATATAAATTTCAAAATACTTTCTGATAACCCTTGGTATTTGAGTAGTGTTTGTGGTGATATTTTCTTTTCATCATGGGTTTTATTAGCTTGAGTTTTTCCCTTTCTTTTAGATAGTTTGGCTAAGGGTTTATCAATTTTATTTATTTTTTCAAATAACCAACTGTTTAAAAAAATTTTAAAGTTTTTGTATCTCAATTTCATTCTGGTTTTATTTATTTCCTATATTCTACTGCTTTTGGTTTTGATTTGTTCTTCTTTTTTAGAGCCTTGAGATATAACATTAGATTATTTATTTGGTATCTTTCTATTCTTTTAATATACGAGCTCCATGGTATGAACTGTCCTTAGAATTGCCTTCATTGTTTTCAGAGATTTTGATGTTGTATCATTATTCTCATTTACCTCTTAAGTTTTGTTTTTTTTTTTCCCCACCCAGATTTCTTTTGCTGTCCATTTAAGAGTGTCTTATTTAGTCTCCAGGTTTTGGAGCAGTTTCTGTTTTTTATCTTATGGATTTGTAATTTCATTCCATTATGATCTACTAAAATGCAAGGTATTATCTCTATTTTTTTTTATTTGCTAAGACTTCCTTTGTGCTTAATATAAGATCTATTTTAGAAAATGTTCCATGTGCTACTGTGAACAAAGTATATTCATATTCAGTCATTAATGAATGAAATATTCAACAGATATCTGTTAAGTGTGAATTATTAATTGTATTTTTAAATTCCATATCATTTTTACTTAGTTTTTGTTTGAAAAGTCTATCGAGTGGTGAAAGAGGTATTTTAAAGTCACCTGGTGTTATTCTTTTCCGATCTATTTGATTCTTAATATTGAGAAGGGTTTGTTTGATGTACACAGATGCTCCATTGTTTGGGGCATAAATATTTATGATTGTTATTTCTTGTTTTATGATTCCCTGAAACAGTATGAAGTGATCTTATTTATTCTGATTAATTTTGACTTGAAGTCTGCTTTATATAATTTGAGAATAGTAATCCCTGGTTATTTATGAGATCCATGTGAATGGTATGTTTTTTTTCATACTTTCACTTTCAGCCTGTGGATATCTTTGCCTATGAGGTGAGTCTCTTGGTAATAGCATATTGTTGGGTCTTGTTTCTTCCTTTCTTTTATTTTCATTAGTTTATTAATTTATGAATTGATTGATGATGCAAAGGATCTTATATCTTAATCTAATCTACCAGTTTATATCTTTTGATTGATGAGTTTAGGTTATTTATCTTCAGTGTTATTATTCAGAAATGATTTTTATTCCCTGGTATTTTGATTTATTTCTGATTTTTAAATAGAATTTGATTCTCCTTTTATTGATGATTCTTTGAGTGTAGTTCCTCTCTCTGCTGGTTTTCAGTTTTATCTTTCATTTCTTCTTCATGAAATTCTTCTTACTGTATTGCTCACTAAGTTGCCAGTGGAGTTCAAAAATTCTCAGCTTCCCTTCTTAGCAGTATGAAGTAGAATGGGATGGAAAGTACTGTCAGCTGGAGTTTGGTCTGCATAGACCAAGTTGATGCACTCCCAGGATGGGGCCACTGCAGAGTTCTCACAAAGAAGTGTACTTAACTTGAATCTTGGTACACAGGGTGATAAGAAATGAGGCCTTCCTCTAGCCCACCACCTTGCTTCCTTAAATGCCTCTTAGTAGAGAGGTTTATAAATTTTTTCATGCTCATAGAGAATATAATGTTTTGGTATGTTTTTTTTCTTTCTCAATTCTTTTTACTTTTTAACCCCTCACCACCATTTTTTATTTATATGTATATATATATATTTTTTTTTCTCTCTCTCTCTTTTAACTTGAGTACTTTGTGTTTCTTTTACTTTTTATTTGGTAAAGAAGAAACAATGACTATACTTGTATAACTTTGGCTTCATTTTATATGTGTTGTTATGTAGTGTGATATACTCTTAATTTACCATGATGATTTTTCTTTGACCAATGAGTTACTTAAATAGTCAAGATATTGGTGTCTAGAGACCTGGGATTAAACCCTTTATTATTATTTACCAGCTGTGTTATCTTGAAATGAAAATTTTCAAAATAACAGTGTTTTTCCGTGTTTTAAACTCCATTTTCCTTATTTGAAAAATGGTGATATAAATTCCAGTTCCATAGGTTGATTTATCTTGCATATACTGACTATTATTCTCAGTGTTGGTATTATTCTAAGTTTTGTTATTATTCTAAGTTTTTGCTGAGGCTGGCTTTGAATTCAAGATCTTCTGCCTTAGCCTCTTGAGCTGCTGGGATTATAGGTGTGTATGCTTAGTTTTTTACAGTTTTTCTATAGATACTTTAAAAATTGTATCATTATTTTATTGATAATATATGTGGATATATTTTAAAAATATACTTTGAATAGTTATGAAATTCTTAAATATTTGTGGAGTATTGTGGAATACTTATTATATATTCTGTTAGGGGCTAGAAATGTGACAGTGGATAAAACTAGGAAAATATGTACTCCTTAGACCTCACTTCTGCTTGTATTCTTCCTTGGGCTTGGAATTCTATTAAGGATTGCTAGAGTTGAAGTAAAATGTTCCAACTGCAATTGTCTGTTTCTCTTTGTATTTTCCACAATCTTTATTACATACATTTCAGCTCAGTTATTGAGCAGGTAAGTCTTCATATGCAAAGTACTTGGTCATAGGTTTATTGATCCTATTAAATATTTTTACTTTGCAGTCTGTTTAATATTATTATTATTATCTCTACTTTTATTTTGTTTGGTTATTGTTTCTTATGTTTTTTATCTTTTTATTGAAACTCTCTTAGAAAACTGAAAGTGGCTTAGAAAAACATGATTTTTAAAACTTATTGTTATGTTCCCTTAATAAACGGATGTAACATATTTACATTTATTAGCAACAAACATACCTGATACTTCTAAGGGTGGTAGACATTCTCATATGTTTTAGCAAGGACTCAATATCCTTTTTATACTCCTCCTTTCTTTTAAACACAACAAATCACCAAATAGAAAATGAATTCTGATTTATCTTTTTTCCTTTAAACTATTTATTTATTACTCTTTTGCTTTATGAGGTAATGGATATGAGTAGAAATTTGAGGGCATTCTGCTGCCTTTAGTCTAATACTTACTTTACAGATAACCTGCTTTCTTTCATCTTCATGCTTATTAAGTGTCTTTAAACTTTGAAATTTACGAGTTGTCTCTGTGTTGATTACTTTAAAATTTTTTTAAGTAATTTCAAACTTTACACAGATATCCCTTAATCCTTTAACCCCTTCATCTAAATTTCACAAATTCCACATTTTATAACATTTGTTCCATCTTTATCCCTGCCTCCTCTATATAGTTATTTGTTTATTAACATTCATCTTTTTTTGAACTATTTGAGATGCAGTTGAAGTTGTAATGTATTATTTCTCTTAAATAGCCCAGAATGTATTTCAGTAAGACAAGGGCATAATCACCCTTGAAGTATTCAAACCAGGAAATCAACATTAATTTTTTTTTCTTATGAGAGCGAGAGAGAGAGAAAGAGAGAGAGAATTTTAATATTCATTTTTTAGTTTTCGGTGGACACAACTTCTGTGTTTGTGTGTTGTGCTGAGGAACGAACCCGGGCCGTACGCATGCCAGGCTATTGCTTGAGCCACATTCCCAGCCCTGGAAATCAACATTAATATAAAATTGCTGCTTCTTATCACAGATTCCATTTAAATTTCACCAGTAGTGCCCTCAGAGTCTTTTCCCATTTGCTTAAAGTCCAATTTTGGTCCTGGATTGCATTTAACTGTCATGTCCCTTCAATTTTCTTCATGGTTAATCTTTTCCTAACTAACCTAGTTTTGACATTTGAATATAGGCTTTCGTTCTTCAAAATGATCTTTATTCTGTCTCTTATTTCCTCATGATTGAATGCATACCAAGCTTTTTGAGAATACTATGTAAATGATGTTATGTTCAAGTTGTTGTCTGCCAGGTGTTTCCTATTGTAAAGATACATTTTTATGGTAATTGATATTTTTGTGAAGTGAAATTCTGATACTGCTTCTGTAACTTGTTCCTTATCTAACCACTGGTTACTAACCTTAACATCCATTGAAGACTTTTACTTGAATCATCAACTACTAGTAGTGCTACTAAATTATTTTCTGTTATTCCTTTTCCATTAATTATTGTCAGTCTCTTAAGAAACAGTATTCCTCCTACCCCATTTGTATATTCATTATTTATTTATTGGTGTAGATGCTTATACACTACTGGGTTCATATTTTATTCCATGGGTTTGTAGTCTTTATTATTTATTCTTTTTTAATATTTTATTTTTTAGTTGTAGATGGACACAATATCTTTATTTTATTTTTATGTGGGGCTGAGGATTGAACCCAGGGCCTTGCACATGCTAGGCGAGCATTCTACCGCTGAGCAACAACCCCAGCCCTATTATTTATTCTGATACTCAGATTGATTTGCAGTTGGTATTCTTTGAACTGGTTTCTGGTTTTCTTTCATGTTTCTGTTAAGAATTCTTGGACTACTATCTTCTTCTCTCTCCCTCTCTCCCTCCCCTTTTCTTAAGCATATAATGTTCTAGGCTACTTCCCCTTCCTAAACCCTTCCCAAATTCCTTCTCTCTGAGGGTACCCAGTTCTCCTTAATGAAAAATTGCATTTAAAATCCCATATCTGGTTACTTGGTATTTCCTATTACCAGAATATCCTTGTTTTAGGCTTCCTCAGTGGATAGACACAGGAAATATACAAGCACAAACACATATGCATTCGCATGCGCACACACACAACCCACATGCAACAGGGATATCTGAATCTATTTCTGTTTATATTTAGGAACTATGAATTTACATCAATCCCTCTAATTCCAGTACAACACAGACTTTTCCCTTTCTATTTTTTCTTTTATATATTTTTTAAGTTGTTAATGGACCTTTATTCATTTATTTATATGCGGTGCTGAGAATCAAACCCAGTACCTCACACATGCTAGGCAAGTGCTCCACCACTGAGCCACACCCTCAGCCCTCCCCTTTTTTGTTTTTTATAAACCCCTTCTCAAATGGCAAGACAACAAACTCCCATTATCCTCAGTACATTTATTTATTTGCTTGGGTCCTTTTTGACCTTACTAGCTGCCTCCAAAGACCAATTGCTTTGAGAAGTTTTCAACAAACATGAAACCTCTATTTGTTGTACTGGGAATTGCTTGAGAAATTTGATGGGGATGGGTGGGTAATAGCTTTTTATTGAGATAGATTTTACACATAATCAATTAACCCACATATAGTGTACAAATCAATGATGTGCACCCAGCACCACAGTTTTAGAATACTTTTTTTTTCTTTTACCTGCTGAAAGAAACACTCTACTTAGCAGCCATCTTCCATCCCTTTTCCTAGGATAGGTAACCACTCATCTACTTTTAATCTCTGCAGAAAAATTTGCCTATTTCTACTTCTTAGGAAAATATATATTACATACAACAGAAGTGGTTCATGGACTTGTAGTAGTGTTCCAGTTACATATTGCTTCATAACAAAACACTCCCAAAACTTACTGCTTTATTACAACTATTGGTTTCTTCTATGTGGTTCTGTGAATTTTCTTGGTTTAGCTAGACAATTAGTTAGGTGCTGTTGGACTGAGGCTTAGACCCTGGGAAACAAATGCAGAATCCTAGCAGGTGAAGAAGATGCAAGGCACAATTGGGATATAAGTATGCTTTATTTGGGGGCGGCAGCAACCTCCAGCCCCAGCCTTCAGCCTCCTGAGTCCTTCCATCAGCCTTTTTAAAAATATAAAGGCTCTTTGTGTTACCAGTATTGGTGAACTCATAATTGGTCAAAGGGAGAGGCCAAAAGTGCCTTTTAAAATCTGTGTTCTCTCTGTGGGACCTGACCAGCTAACGTGTACCTTGGTGGGGGGGCGTTCATTAATGACCCGTGGTGTCACAGGGAGATCACATTCCAAACTTTTCACATGGGTCCAGGAGCTAGAGGATAAAGGCTGCTGAAACATCTTATTTTCCACCTGTGATGATCCTGAATCTGGTTTCTAGAGTCTGAGTCTTAGCCCTATAGTGCTTTCACAATTTTATAGTTAGATGTAAGCTGCTGAACTGGAGTCATCTGAAAGTTCACTTGGGCTGAATCTCCAAGATGACTTCCTCACTTCTGTATTTGGTATCCAGATAGAATGGCTGGAATGGTGAAGCCTGCCATCTCTTTTCTTTAACATGGCCATCTTAGACTTTCTAACAGCATGGCAACCTTTGGTAGTCAATCTTCATATAATGTTATTCTTCCCTCAGTGTGAGATCCCTAGGGGAACCACTATGTTGTAAAGGCCTTAGCTTTTAAAGTCCTAGAAAATCATTTACTTTGCATTCTATTATTCATACAAGTCTTAAATAAAATAGAGGTTCAAGAAAGAAATGAATCTTTGCTTGTTGATAAAGAATAGTTGGGGAATGGGGTTGTGGCTCAGTGGAAGAATGGTTGCGTAGCATGTGTGAGGCACTGGGTTCAATTTTCAGCATCACACATAAATAAGTAAATAAAATAAGGGTCCATCAATAACTGTATGCATGGGAAGGGAAAGAATTGATAATAACTATCTTTAGTGCTATTTATCATAACTATCTTTAGTGCTGTTTATCATACGTAAAATTGAGAACCCCAGAGTTCTTTGACACACTGGTAAATTGAGGACATTTGTACTGTTTTAGAATTTTAAAGAGAAAGTTGCAGATAAGTCATAGATGACATAATTAGCATATTATGAATTCATTATCATGCCCTGCATTTTTGTCCACCAATGGCTTATTCCCTGTTTCCATAAGCGATAGAAAACTTGTTTGGTTGGGTTTTGTTTGTTTGTTTGTTGTAACCTTTAATTAATTAATTAATTAATTAATTAATTAGTTGATTGATTGATTGATTTTTCTTTATGTGGTGCTGAGGATTGAACCCAGTACCTCACACATGCCAGACAAGCACTCTACTGCTGAGCCACAATCCAGCCCTGGTTTTTGTTATTTTTAAATGTTACACTTTCAAGATGTGTTCATGGAAGCACTGTTTTTCCTTAGTTTTTATTTCTTTGTAATGAAAGCAAAATGTTATGAAATGTATTATTAGGGCAGTATTTAAAATATTTACACAGAAGTTGGCAAAATGACATACTTTATCAACATGGAATTAAGAATCATTGCTCATTATGGTATCTTTTGCATTTTTCAGATGACTCAAGACTGAAAAGAACTAAAGTGTCACCAGAGAAGAAAACACATCATAAATTAAGTAAAATAATTTTATCTTGTAATACTTCCATTAAAGAAAACTAGAATTAAGTTTGTTTCTAAATATAGCTTAATTTTTTGTAAGCAGGGGAAGTAATAATACTATTTGGATTTCTTTGTAGATAAATTAAAATCACACATTTAGTTCTCATGAATTTTATAATAAGTCGTCATAGGCCACTGAGTCAGTCTGTTACCCATTTATAAGGTTTTATAGTCTTCTCATTCTGCCTGTAGTAGGTAGCGATTTTTCATTTTGTGTAATCAAAATTAAAAATTCTCTGAAAATGTAATTGCTAAGTAGATAATATCCATCCTCGACAGCTTCTTCCACTTTTATACAGTTAATTCTTAAGTGGCTCGAATGGTAAATAGACAAAGTTGAGAACTATGAACCCATGAAGAGATTCATGTGAGGATTCAAAATCCACGGTTCCCCAGAAGATACTTACCAGTCAAGATTCATGGAACAACTCATTTTTGTGTGATGGAGTGGCTTTCCATGCCATATGTAAAGTAGAATGTCGATAAAATAATAATGTGATCACAGAGTGGCATCCCACTACTTTTGACATAGTTGTTGATTCTCTAAAGTACAGGTCTCTACCATACTTTAAAGAGGAGATTATAGAAGGGTGTGTGTGACCCACTGCCCATTAGCTTAGGTTATATCTACCACATGATATGACATAATATGTCAGGGAATTTTTAAGTGCTTAACTAAGGATTTTTAGAGATACCTTGTAATACCTTGTAATCCTGGTTATTTAACAAAACTTGGCATGATAAAGAGGAAATGATATGGTGGGGAGGAAAGGTGCAAAAAAAGGGTAGTAAAAGTAGTATAAAATGTGTCATTTTTACCAGTGATATCTTGCTTTATAGGGTTATATGTATTATTTTTATTTTTTGGCAGTGCTGAGGACTGAACTCAGCTTGCTACTAGGCAAGTGCTTTACCACTGAACTATAACTCTAGTTCCAGGGCTATCAGTTTGATATAATCATAGAGTATCAGGAATGGGAAGGTAACCAATATTAAAGTAAAAAAGCACAGTAAATCCTTGAAGTTACCAAAGTTACCAAGAAAAGAATGGAGAAAATAAATGGTCATTTAATCAAACTAACGAAAATGAAGACAAAGAAGACTCATTGATTTAAAGTAACTCATATATATAAATAAGATGGCAGGACATGGTGGTGCATACCTGTAATCCCAGTGATTTGGGAGCCTGAGACATTAGGATTGCAAGTTTGAGGTGGGCCTCAGTAACTTAGTAAGACCCTAAGCAACTTTGTGAGATCCTGTTTCAAAAAACAAATAAAATATAAGAGGGCTAGGAGGCTAGGAGGGCTAGGTATGTAGCTCAGTGGTTAAGCTCCCCTGCATCGAATTCCTGGTATTAATCAATAAATCAGTAAATAAATAGAGATGAAGGGAATTAAAGGAAGCAGGTTATTAAACTGAACAAATGTGAATAGATTGACTTTCTCAAGTATTGGGTTTGGTTAAATAATATAAACCTATCTGTTTTTTTAAAAATACTTAGGTTTTAAAATAAAAAGTTAAAAATAATTAGGAAGATTACTGTGAACAAAAAGAAAATAGTCTAGTGTTAATATTAGGCAAAGTAGGAGTTAAGGTTAAAACTGATAAATGTGATAAGGAAGAATATATAATGATAAAGTGAGCACTTTAAGAGGACAGAGAAAGTATAAATTTGTGCACCAACAATTTATCAACTAATATTCATAAACAAAAAATGACTAGATAAAGCAAGAAAATTTTAATTTAAACAATATAATTAGGAGGGAGATTTTAATTCACTGCTTTCAGAATTGAATTAAGCAAAAAAATAGATAAAACAAAAATAGGTAAGAACATAGGAATTTGATAACATAGCCAACAAACTATTTATATATGGAACTTAACATCTTTCAGATAACATTGTCAATCCTGGGTATTAAAGTTTTATGTCTTTACCAATCTAGAGGCCTAATTTTTTACTCTCTTTAATCATTATCCCAAATGTACCTTAAAAGTTTTTTCTTATCTTTTATCTAGAACCATTCATCTTTTAAAAGGTAATATTAATCTTTCCACTGCTGAATATAATCCGACTAAACATTTATATGTGTTTTTTTTTTTTTTTTTTTTTTTGACATTTTTATAGTTTTGCCCTCCAACACACCAAATGTCCGCAGGACCAAAAGAATACGTTTTAAACCTTTGGAATACTGGCGAGGAGAGCGAATAGATTATCAAGAAACATCATCAGGTAAAACCTAATTTACACTGTAGTGTCTAATAATAAAAACAAAAGAAGGTTAAATATAACTTACTTATGATTAGTATGTGCCAGACTCTGTCCTGCAATTTATGTACATTACTTTATTTAATCATCATTTCTCCCCCAATGTGATAAGAAAAGGATTCAAATCCTTATTGGTCTGATTACTATAGAGATGCTGATTTTTTTTCTTTTTGATAGGTGTAGTTTTGTGTATGGTTTTGTAGAGTATTGTTATAGTTTTATCTGACAAGGATTTAAATTGTATAAAAATCTGCATTGTTAGAACATGAGAAAATTATTATTCTTACCAGCCATTTTCTTATCATAGTTTTCTACAAAATGATAGAGGTTGAGTTTAGAAGTATAGTGTTATCTTTTAAGTTATTTCCTTCCTTTGATGGATATAGCTAAGTCAAAGGGCACTCATATGTGGCTTATTACTAATAGTTTATCACCAGCTTCTGCTTTTTTTGTTTTGTTTTAAACCCTCTACTGATAACTGCTGATTTCAAGGAATTAACAGAGATCAATCCTATTTTATCAGTGCTTCTAGATTAGCATGTTAAAGATATATAAGTGCAATTGATTATTATTTGAACTACTAAAATTTTAGTAATATTTTCTTTGTTTCTTTGAAAGAAAATGTACCATATTTAAAGAGTTTTGTTTCAAACTTTTTACTTTTACAGATATAATATTTAATCTTTTTTGTTGTTAAATTTCAGGAGAATTTGTGATTGGTGGAATATTGTCCCCAGTCACAATAACATCTAAAAGAAAGGCAAAAGGAAACGTGGAAAGAGTCAAAAAAGTAACTAATAGGAAAAGGATGTGTCTTGATAATGATGAAAGAAGTATGAACTTATTTCTGAAAGTAACTTTTAGATTTTATATGTTTGTTTGTTTTGTTTGTTTGTTTGTTTGTTTGTTTTGGGCACTGGGGATTGAACTCAAGGGCACTTTACTAAGCCACATCCCCAGCCCTACTTTGTATTTTATTTAGAGACAGAGTCTCACTGAGTTGCTTAGCACCTTGCTTTTGCTGAGGCTGGATTAGAATTTGTAATCCTTCTGCCTCAGCCTCCCGAGCTGCTGGGATTACAGGCATGTGCAACTGTGCCAGGCTTAGATTGTATTTTCAATAACATAGTACTTTGAGAAGAACTCACTCCAAAAATTGTTATTTACCTCTAAAACCTTCAGATATACTATAGGTAAAATTCACTTTTTAATGTCCACTTTTTCCCAAATTTTGAAAGCATTGAGCTGGGTGCCCTAGTACATGCTTACAATCCCAGTGACTCAGGAGCCTGAGGTAGGAGGATCACAAGTTCAAGGCCCACCTCAATAACTTAGTGAAACCTTCTCTCAAAATGAAAAAGAAAAAAAACAATGCAGCTTGGTGGTAAAGCAACCCTGGGATCAATTTCCAGTACCAGAAAGAAAAAAAAAAAAAAAGTGAGTAAATTTACTTTTCATGTGTAAATTCCCCAGTCTAATGAATCTTAAAAGTTATCCATACTGAAACTATGCTTACAACAGACATGTTAATGAATTTTTTCTGAAGTGTATTGCATGTCTCAGGAAATGTGCAGAACATTGTTTGGCTTTTTGATGATGTAAGAATTTAAGAGTTGACATGTTTTAATGTCCCTTATAGGGAATCGGAAGTTTAGGATGTTTGCTTTTATTTTAAATATTGTGGGTTTTTTAATTATTATTTTTATTTATTATAGTGGTCATTTATAAGTAGGAAGAGTCAGTTGTATCTCTGACAGTTTGCAACTTGTCGTTGCTATATTTTGTACTGTACTTTTTTATGATTGAGAATTAATTTTAAGTAACTAGTTTATATTTCATTGGTATTTCTTTTGCAGAGAATAAATTAATACTAAATGTTGATATATCTCTAAGAGATCCTTTGCAGCCAACACCAGTAAAGGACCCAGAAACAAGAGAGATTGTTCTTATGGGTAAGATCAGAAATGATACAGAAAATATCTAATTTACCAATAAAAAAGAGGAAACTCTTGGCTTGATGATCAATCCAAATACTCCCCCACCCTGGCTCTTTCAGCACTAAATTTCAGTTCAAATAAGTAGCCTATCTGAGGACAACTTTGTTGGGCATTGATGGTAGATAGCCTCCAAGGACATGTGTTAACCTCCAAGGACATGTATTTTCAGGCATTTGTCCCCTGGGGTACAGGTGCTAACACTACCATCAGGAGTGTTGTCTCCTCGCATGGGGTCTAGGACATATGGTTGTAGGGTCTTTTCATGGGGAATGGGGAATTTTACCATGTTAGCTGGCAGATCCCAGGATATACTCTCTGTGGGAGCAGACAGGAATTATTGGCCTGGCACAGATAGTCTTCTGGTCCTACAAATGCCAGTAATGGTACCTGTATTGTGAAACTTTTGTGAGGATCACCATCAAGGGCATCAATCAGCCATACAAATGCTAGCCTTAACTTGAAGGCTGGCACAAGATCCTAGAAGCCTCCTACTCTATTATACAGGTATTAAACATTTAGTTCTGGGAGGCCATAAGAGGTTTCAAGGGACATGTTATAGTGGGGTGGGGGTTTAGGGAAAATTTAGCTTTTTACCAACCAGGCAATATTTATATGTAAGAAATACTTAAATATCTTAACAACTGTTAGTTGCACCAGTTAGTACTGAAGATTCTTTGTCTTAAGTCAGAAGACCAGTAAGGTCATTATTGTATTCCACTTAAAATTTTGGCTGTGAAATAGATTCCATTTGATATCTTATGTCTTAGCTAAAGTATTTCTATATTGAGATTATTTGACAACAGAGGTTAAAAAAAAGAAAAGTGTTTAGTGTAAAAAACATTGATATTTAAAAAGTGTTTTTGTTGCTTTTTTTTTAGTCATAATTTAGGAGTCATTTTAATACTCTTTTAACAGTCAAGCATCTTATTGTCAATGATTTCTCATACTGTAGTTTATATTTTGCTGTGCTTCTTCTGTAGGAATTTCTCTATTCTCTTTTTTAATTCATTAACTGTGTGTATGTTTACAAATTTAATCTACTTTTTAAATTCTATAATCTTAGTTGGTCCTCTTTTGACTTTTGTATTCAAGTTTAGTAATCCTATGTTCTGGTTTCCTGAATGTTATTAAATTTCTTTGATTTAAAAAAAATTGCTATTCTCTAGTAGGTTAGAAAAGTTGTGAGTGTTGTTAACAGTTCACTTTCTTTGGTAAATATGCACATTTTCTGCATCTGGGGGAACACTAATGTTCCCAGAGAAATGATAATGTCAGAAACTGATGATTAAGGAGTATATTAATTACAGGCCCAGAAAGGAAGTTTTTTTAAATAAAAGGGAGCTTTTTGAAATTAAGATAGTAATTTGTGAGCAACAGTTAAAACTCTGAATTCTAGTAGCCTTTTCTTGATAAATAAAAATCTCATTATTTAAACATCAGTCAAGTAGAAAATTAGCAGTAGCAGAAAATAATTTATTGTTATGATGATCATAAATTTGTATTTTGGTTCATGTGAAACTTTTTAAAGATACTGAGTTTTTTCTTGTTTCTCATTTAATTTTATTTTCCATCTTGATTGTAACAAAGCACTCACTTTGTGTCAGACATTGTTTTAAATTGTTTGCATACATTAACTCTTTGATGTTCACAGCAACTCTTTAATACAGATTAACAACCATTATTCATTTTTATAGAAAAGGAAATTGAGGTACAGAGAGAGAGTTTAATGTAAGAAATGCAAGATTTGATTTCTGGCATTCCAGCTACAAAATCAATGATCTTAATTATTTTTGTCTTTCTAAGGCAGGTTTTATATCTAGAAGTACACATAATATACATGTGTACATGTTTTTGTCATTGAGCATTATCATTACTATTATTTTATTGTATTACTATTCCTCTTAGATCTTATAAAGCCACAAGATACATATCAGTTTTTCGTGGAACATGGTGGATTGAAAGTATATAAAACTTTGGATACACCTTTATTTTCTACTGGGAAATTGATATTAGGACCCTATGAAGAAAAGGGAAAACAGCATGTTAGCCAAGATATATTAGTAAGTATATTTCTTCATTTATTTATGCTTTGTTATAGATGCTACTTTGCTTTATTGGATTGGATGAGGCATTAAAATGCTGTTTCTTTACTAATGAAATTCTATCACTGTAATGCATAGATTTATTTTTATTTTTTTAAATATTTATTTTTTTAGTTTAGGTGGACACAATGTCTTTATTTGATTTTTATGTGGTGCTGAGGATCAAACCCATTGCCTCACTCATGCTAGGTGAGCACTCTACCACTGAGCCACAACCCTAGCCCAGATGTTTTATTTTTTGTTTAAAATCTGTTCAGAATCAACCAGCCAACTTAACAGCACCTTTTCTGTATATAGCACTATAACCTTGAGGTTCCTAGTTCTAAGGAATGGTCTTTACTTAAAATCTAGTTTTCTTAAAGTCAAGTTTTCAAACAAATCATTAGAATTTTACAGCTGAGGGCTAGGGTTATAGCTCAGTGGTAGAGCACTTGCCTCTCATGCATGAGGCACTGGGTTTGATCCTCAGCACCACATAAAAATAAATAAATAAAGATATAGGGTCCATCTACACTAAAAAAATATTTTCAAAAAAGAATTTTATATCAGGGGATTTTAGAGATCAAGTTTAATTCCAAATTTCTCTGGTCATGCAGTTGAGAAACAGAAGTTAAAAGACTTAAAAAAATTAAGTAGTTAGCAGTAGACTTAAGATTAAGAACTAGTTGCTTTAGTAAGTACTAGGTAAAAAACTATTATATATATATAACACTATTACTGATTAAAGTTATAATGAGGTTCAAAGTGAAACAGTCACTCAGTCTTTCTCCCTCTTTCATACCCTGTTGGAGCTATTCTGAAAAATTGATCTTTTAGTATATGTATGCATATATCTGTATATTTCTGTATTTTTAATTTGAAAATTGTAGAATTTAGAAAGTGTCAAATTTTAAGGATGTTTAACATTATGACATCACTTTAAAAATGATATAACTAAGGAATATCATTTGGTATGGGTCATTTGAGGAATCTGTGAAATCATGAGTTATTGAAGTATCACATTCAAAATAATTTTTACTGACAAAGTAAGGTCAAAAGGGAGGAAGTATAACAAGAATTCTGTTTTTGAGTAATTTGAAATTTTCATGAATTCAGTCTTAACATGCTCTTATCTCCATGCATTATTTAAAGAATAAAATAACATTTTTTAAAGCATAAATATTCCCTGGGAAATGATGAAAGAATATTAATGAAGACAAATATTATGGTATCGTCACTATACTGCCTTTTTATGTAAAAAGGAAACTTGAATAAAAAACATTTGAAAGTATTTAACCTGCTTAATACTTAGAGTATTCAGAGTGATTCAAATTTAAAAACAAATAACACTTTACAGTTACTCAGTTAGTACAAATTATTGGAAAAATATTCATACCCTGTGACTTATGGATGTCATTTCTAGAAGTTTTTCCTAGGGTAATAATTTTAAAGTTGGGAGGAGAAGAAGCTGATCATATGTATTTATTGTAACATTGACTATAATTGCAAAAGTTAGAAATTAGTAAAATGTGCTGCAGGAGAAAAATGGTTATATTTTTATTTTAACTTAATAGGATGAGCTTTTATATGATATAATAAATATTATAGCACTTCCAGGCACTGCACTGAACATTTTAAAATTATTTTTAGCATATTATTTTCACGACTAGTCATAAAATTATCTTTGCAGTAACGTTTATGGTACAATATAGAAAATACTTTATCTTTTTTCCTGTCTAGAATTTCAAAATGTAAATGACAAGTTAAAAAGAATGTAGAAAAGTAACCTTACTGTGTGATTATACTTGATAATTATTTCTTTTAACTATTCTCCAACTTTCTTATAAAAATGAGAGTTAAGGTGTTTTTCTTAGTAATAATAATATGAAGAGTATTTTTACATTTTTAAAACATGAAACACATGCTTTAAAAAACAATAAAGGGACAACAAGGTAGAGAACCATTGTAGGCTGTAACTTTCCTTAAAACAGTTCTCAATATGTTGGTGGGTCTGTGTTCTTTTGTGGAGACTGACTTTGAGGATGAATCAGGTTACAAATTTTTCTAGTTTTATACATATTGTTGACAGAATTCAGTTCATTGTGTTTATATGATTGAGGTTTTCATTTGGTCTCTGGCTGTTGGCCAGGATCTTATTCTCAATTTATAGAAATAATCCATGCTCCTTGGCCAATGGTTTCCTTATATTTACTAGCAGCAGCATTACAAAGTCTTTTTGTGCTTCAAATTTCTCTGCCTTCTCTTTCTGCCTTGTTTTTCCTCTGCTTCCTGGAGAAAGTTTTTTATTTTTTAAAGTCTCATATAATTAGGAAGAAAAGTTTATTTTGGATCATGGTTTCAGTGAGTCAGTCCCTGGTTGACAGCATTTAGCCCCTAGGCCTGATGTGAGGGAGAAGGGAGACAGAAAATCATGGTGGAAGAGTGTGCTGGAGGAGAACTACTCAGTTCATGCCAGCTACTAAGGAAAGAAGGAGGGTGAGGGGTGGGGAAGGGAAGGGAGAGGGAGGGACAGGCAGGGAGAAAAGTTTAAACCCTCAGTAATTTACTTTCTTTAGCCACACCCTACCTGCTTATAGTTCCCACCCATTTAATCCATTCAAATGAATTAATATATTGATCAGAGTTATGACTGTTGTAATCCAATAATTTCACCTCTGAACATTCTTGCATTTTCTCATATAGGAGTTTTGGGGAGTTACCCTATATCCAAACCATAACCTTACTAAGGATTATTAATCTGCCATCTCAGATCCTGTTTGCTAACATATTCATAGGTTTTACATATTAGAGCATCATCATCTGTGGGGAGTTGTTATTCTGACTACTGCATTTCCTTTGATGGTTTTTGAAGTTCAATTTGAAATGAGATTTTACTTTTTGATTTTACAGATCTTTTATGTTCACTTTGGTGACCTTTTGTGTACTTTATGTGAATCATCTTATTTAATAACTACTGGGGATTCTTTCTATGTTCCTTCAGGTAAGAATAACTAAAGACATTTTATTTCACATAGTCTCCATATAGTTGTTCATATGCAGCATGAAAATGGAAGCCTTAGTTGTCGACAGAGTGCAACACAATTGATTACAAAGCAGTTTGGTACATATTTTTCTTTCATCATTAGGTAAGTATATTAGTATATTGATACATGAAAAGTTAATAAGTTTATGTTAGAATATAAAAATACTAATTAGAACATATGTTGCATTCTGTTAGTAAAGGGTAATTATTTCCTCCCTGGTATCTCTGAGATATTGTAGCTGAACAGTTTTTAGTGGATTATTTTAAACATATAAAATAATGTGCTATTGAAGTACACAAATTTTTGGAAACAGATACTTTAATTCATTCATTTGTTCATTCATCCATTTGACAAAGGTAAGTTAAGAGTTTACTATGACCAAGCATTGCTTTAAGAGTTTGGGATAAATATAATGAACAAAACAGGAAAAAATTTAAACTTAACAAAGCTTACATTATGTAGGGAGACAATAATAGTAACTATGTTTATGTAGTCTGTAGTATGTGCTAATACTGTTGTAAATATGAATTTGGTCAATATGTATCAATTTCTGATAAATAGAAAATCACAAAAATAATATTTAATACTAATATACCTACTGTATGTGATGCTGTCCATGAATATTTCACTTTTGTTATTTATTACCTTATTTATTATTATTAAGACCAGTCTTTGTCTTTTTTAAATGTTGAGATTTTATTTTACTTAACACTGTATACATATTTAGGGAAATCCACAGCAATTTCAGAGATTGATTTCAAAAAGAGATTTCCTTTCCCTCTGCCCTTGTCTAACTTAACTCTGCATTTGTTATAAAATAATGTAAATTTTGTATTTTCAAGCCTTATCTGGATCAATAGATAGTGGTTAGCTCTTGGATCTTTCAATTTAAGTGAATTCTTTTTATCTTATGTTTTATGTACTGTAACTTTCAGGTGATGACTAAATACTTAATTCAAAAGTAAATGATTCCTGTGGAAATAATTTTATTTTCTTATTATTTTACTTTTAGGTAATTATTACAACATCAAAAATCTCCTGAATGATGAAAGTGTTCTTCTTTTTACCCAAATTAAGAGATGAAGAATGAAGCAAGTTTAAATATGTGTGGGTATTTATGGATATGTGTATAACATATACATGTACACACATGTATAAAGCAGCTTGTATAGTTGACGTTTATTTTTGTAATTACTTGTATTATTTTAAAATAAAAATTTTATTCAGCTTTGTGTAAATGTGTATTAGATAAACATTTCATACTCGGACGAGTAACTTTGAATTTTTCTGTGAACACACATCACCTGTAGTGATATTATTTTAACAATGAAAAGCATACCAAAACCACTACTCCTTCAATGAATATAGGACATATATTTTTACCAGAAGAGAGCTGATTAATATGTCAGTTGATTTAAAATTAGTTTTGCCAAATTCTCATTTTAAATTATTGAGCATTAAAGAACCGTGGTAAATGTTTGTTTCCAGGGCTTCTGTAACAAATTATTACAAACTGAGTGACTTAAACTAATAGAAATTTGTTATCTTAGTTATGGAGGCTTGAAGTCTGAAATTAAGGTGTTGTGAGGGCCATGATGTCTCAGAAACCTGGAGAAAGAATGATTCCTTCCCTCTTTCTGATTTCTCTTGAAATGCTGGCAATCTTTGGTATTCCTTGGCTTGCACCTACTACTACTTCAATCCCTGCCTCCATTTTCAAATGATATTCTTGCTTGGCATGTTTTTGTCCTCACATGACATTTGTTTAATTACAACAATTCGAACTTTTCTTTCATCTTGTTTTCGTTTGTATTTTCTGCTGGAAGTGGTACCCTGTGCCATTGCTTTCTGCATGTGGCCTCCTTAGCTCCTTTTAATATTAAAAGGAAATGCTTCAGGAAACAACTCTGTGCTAACAAAGTTGAATTTTGATTTTTTTGGGGGGGGCTATAAAAATATATATTATAATGATTGTCAGTTCTAAAGAAGTTTCTTTCATGTGAATTATTTTTAGGCTGACCCTCTTCATGCCTCTTTAATAGTTAAATATACATACACATTGAAAACAGGTTTGGTATCTGAGGTCTGAGAAAGAATGAAGTTCTAGGCTTTGTTAAACATTTTTTGTGTGTTTTTTATTTTTAATTTCATTAAGAGTTTGATGCAATGGTGTACACCTGTAAAGAGGCTTGGGAAGCTAAGACAGGATGATCATGAGTTCAAAACCAGCTTCAGCACAAGCGAGATGCTCAGCAACTCAGTGAGACACCCTGTCTGTAAATAGAATACAAACTAGGGCTGGGGATGTGTCTCAGTGGTTGAGTGCTAGAGTTCAATCCCCACCCCCCACCCCCCAAAAAAAGAATTATTCCTCTTTACATGACAAATAATACCATAGAGATAAGTTGATCTCACAATACATACTGGCTACAAATTTATTTGTGTTACAGTTGCCAAATATAATGCTTCTCAAGGGGATTGGGAAGTTAAAAATTATTTAATGGGTATCTGGCACAGAAATAATGACAGTCTAGACCTAAGGAGTTACATCATTTAAATGGTTTTAATCCTGGGAATATTAAAACATTCAATATGATATGTTTTTGGAATTATGTGTTTGCTACTAATTCTCTTTTGTGTGGTAATAATAGGTTGCCATATCTTCCAGCAAGGCATCTGAGAACTTCAAATACTAGCTCATCACTTGTGCTTAAAAACAAAAGAGGGGGGGGGAGATGTTGAGAATGGTGAATGAATTATGATCTTTGAACTGCTAAGTGACAGGCAACACCTCCCTTGGGAGTTTTTTAATGCATTTGAGAGCCAACCCTTGAAAAATTTGCCTCAACAAAGAGTATAAAAATCTCCATAGTTAGATAAAATAAAACTGATTAGGAAAATACATTAATTTAGGCACATAAAGCTCAAATATGAATTTGCCATGAAATCATGAGAGCTCAAAAATATAGGGTTTTTTAAAGAGCAAAACAAAAACCATAATTACTCTTGTAAAGAGACATGTTGAACAACTTTATCAGATCAGTTCACTTTGAGTTCAGATTAGAGTAAGTTCAGATATTTAAAATATAGAGTAAAATCTTCAGAAAAGTTTTTTTTTAAAAAAGGAAAACATATTTAGAATCTTTCCATTGTTCCCTCTTGGTGCTCAAGCATTCAGGGGAGGTTATTAACAGTGTGGTAAAGACACCCAGTTAAGGCAGAACAGAAGAGGCTCAGATTTAAACATGACATCTTTTTCTCTTTAGGCAATCAAGTCAGAAATCACTTGAATTTTTTAAAGGGCTACTTTTTTCCTGTGGTCTTAAATCTTACATGATTCTCTGAAAATGTGGTGCTATAGATGATGTTTTTTCTGAAGACCCTATCCCAATGAGATTTTAACTGAGGAGGCAAAATTGTCTGTCTATATTTGTGATTTACATTCATTATCCTAATGTTTATCATAATGGCTGCATGGACAGAGGCCTGGTTTGTTTTTATGACCAGATAACTGCTGATAGTCTTTGGCCAAGTGTCTAGGCTTGTCACTTCCTTTTGGAATTTTAAGTTTTCCAAGAAGGCTGAAAAACTCTTTAATTTTTTTTTAATTGTTGATGGACCTTTATTTTTAATCATTTGTTTATATGAAAAAGAACCCAGTGCCTCACACATGCAAAGCAAGCACTCTACCACTGAGCCACAACTCCAGCCCTGCAAAACTTCTCTTAAAGCTGTGGCTAGAGTTTCAACTCCCACTCACATCTCAGGAACAGCTTCTACTGAGCAGGGAGATGCTACAGGCTGAAGAGTGTTTAACTTTTTACAGCCTTTAACAGTGTTTCTAAAGCCAGAAATCAGGTCAGAAGCCAAACATTTCATGTGATTACAAGATGGATCAAGACAATTTCATATCAAAGACCATGGGGATTTTGTCCAGTTCCTCGGTCACATAGCTAGCATGCATGTTCACTGAGTTTCTCCCATGACTTTACACCTACGGCTCCCTCCTCAAGTAACCAAGGAAAAGTTTCAATAACAAATTCTAAAAGCTGTGGCAACTGCCTTCTCTGTGGGGCTGTACTGTAATTTAAACATAGTCTTCAACATAGTAACATGGGGATCCCTTTCTTCTAAACTGTCCTACAGCAAGCTATGTATAAAGACTCGTTTGTCTCCTTCCTACTTTAATGGACATGTATCTTTTTTAGGAGCATCCCACTCACCTTGAAAAGTGAATTCCTCGTGTGTCTGTGTTGGTCCCTGTTCAGGTGCCAAATGTCCATCCTATGCGAAAGTGTATTCAGAGCAACAGAAACTAGTCAGTAAGGGGATTATGAAAAGACAAATAAACTAGAGGAAAAGGCAGGGTGGTTTGGTTCAGCCTGCCTCTGATGCAGGAAGACTGACCAGAAGCAAGCTTGGCACATTTATTATATAGGTTTAAACATCAGAAAGATTTATTGTCAGAAAGCCTCTTCAAGATAAAACTGAAGCTGAGGGTAAAAGCAGCCCAATTAGGCTTATCAGCTTTTGGCTATAATTCTCTACCTTTGGGCAGCAAGTACTTGAACCCAAGGTTCTGAACTAAAACTTCTTGGCTAATAAGGAATTTCCCTTTGAACAGGGTGTTACCATACAATTGGTTGGTTTTTTCTTTGCCTTTGCACTAAGACATTCCCAAGGGAATTGTCTCCTCTGTTTCTGGGAGGTTCAAAGACCCATATTTCATTGCCTTTCCTGAGTTTCCACATTTTTGTTAAATTGATTGGTAGGCATTGCATGTTTCTTAATGCTGTGGTAAATTTTATTTTTTCATTTTCCGAGTGCTAATTTCTAATGTATAGAAGTACAATTTCATGACCACGTCAAATTCAGATCATTAGTTTTTTGTTTTTAGGATTCCATAGGATTTTCTATGCATGTATTCTGTGTATACTGTCAACATCTGTGAATAAAGACATTTTGACTTCTTTTAGTCTTTGCATTTTATATTTTTTCATCTTGCTTTATTCTAGGACTTTCAGTATACTGTTGAGTAGAAGCAGTCTTCCTACTTTGTGCTCAAGCTTAACAGCATTCAGTTTTTCAATATGAAGTATAATGTTGGCTGTAAACTTTTTACATGTTTTATCATATTAAGACAGTTCTTCATATTTTTATTTTGATGAGATTTTTTAGAAATTAAGATTCTGTTGTTTATCTTTGTCTACTGAAACAGTCATTGGTTTTCTTGTTTATTCTGTTGGTGAAAAAAAATTTTTAAACTCTACTTGCATTTCTGTATAAAAAACCCTTGATTATGCTATGGTATTTACAAATCATTGGATTCAACTTGTTAATATTATTAAAATTTTAAATTTTTATTAAAGATTTTTTGTTTTGTCTAGATCCATGAAGGAATTTTTCTGTTTATTATGACTTGGCCAGGTGTTAGTATAAAGGTCATTCAGATCTTATAAAGTGCAATTCATTTACATCTCAAGTGTTAGAAAGAATTATAAGTACTGCCATACAGACCTGGAGTTTTCTTTATGGAAAGACTTTTAATTATGGCGTTAGCTTCTTTTATAAGTATCATTGTTGATGATTTCTATTTCTTCAGTTTTAATAAATTTGGCTTGTATCTAAATTTTTTTTTTTAAAGAGAGAATTTTTTTAATATTTATTTTTTTTTAGTTCTCGGCGGACACAACATCTTTGTTTGTATGTGGTGCTGAGGATCGAACCCGGGCCACACGCATGCCAGGCGAGTGCGCTACCGCTTGAGCCACATCCCCAGCCCCTGGCTTGTATCTAAATTTGGAAGAATTTGTCTTTAATTTTTTCCAGTTGATTTTCATAATGTTCATAATCTCCCTCAAAGTCTCAATAGCTTGAGATTTGAAAGTCTTCAAGAAAATATTTAATATAAAAAGCTCACTGCAGTATCTGGAGCACACATGTGCAATGTAGTTGTTTAATTTTTCTTCTTTTTTCTTAGTCTTTCTAGCTAATCTAGCATAAACTAGCTAAATCAGTTTTGTTGCACTTTTTAAATAATTAATCTTTGATTTTGTTGATTTTCTTCCTTTGTGTTTCTATTTCACTGATTTTTGATCTGATAATTTTTTTCCTACCTACTTTAGTCTTGATTTGCTCTTCCATTTGTAGTTTTTTAAGGTGGAGGCTTTTTCTTTGTTTAAGCTGCAAAATTCCTTAGTGCTATTTTGGCCTTATCTCGTGTATTTTACGATGACAT